GTTCTAAATCCGCCCCGGGCCGATATCGCGATTACGATAAGAAGCACGTACGATAACGTTTATGCGACGATAATGGGACCGCGAAGTGCACCGGATTTGCCCGCGGATTCCACCCTTTCAACCGTTCCCCGCGTGCCAGGAAACGTAACGCCGGTGACTCGTCGCTGAAACGCACTGACGTTCGCGCGTCCATTCAATTTCGACGATTAAGAAATGCTTGTTTTACGAGGTTCAATATTTCGGAAACGTTCTCTTGACCGCGATACACACGATGCACGCGTGTATATTCGTGACACCGATTTAATGCCAATGGAGACAATGCCTTAACGAGGTAATCGCTTTAATAGGGGACACTCGTTTATCTAGGGGTTCTCGATGAATTGGCCCAGCCTCGAACTTTTTTCACGCTGTTCACTGACACGCGAGCTTTTCCACGTGTGTGGGTGCCTGGTCGAAAGTTGCTCTAGAATGCACCAGTTCCTCGGCTTCAGTTCCCATCTCACCCTCTGATCAATACTTTTAACGTTGCCTCCCGAAAGGTGCGTTGGTCTCTCTGTTCCAAGAGTCGCAAACACGATTCTTCGAAGATCGACGTCGTTGCTCGCGTATGCGCGAACTACCTCGCCAATCGACGTATCGCAACAGATTAATCGAAACGTCAGACGAACAGGAAAGTGGTAGCGCGTTCGTGTATTATTTTCGTCGGTCCCCTTTCCAACGTTACGACGACGTAACTCGAAGAGAACATCCGGCGACCCGACAAATTTATATAAATGAGCGAAAAACTCGTCCGCTACGGAGCATCCCGGTCTAGCGCGCCGCGCGGGTCACTTTAAACCGTATCCCTTTGAAAATTACATAGGCGAGGCACAGGTTGTTGCACTGGATCGTGGGCATACGGGCGTGAATCCCGAGTGTAAACGCGAAACTTATCCGTCGAGCCAACAAACCGGAAACGTGTGACTTCGTTTGTCGTCTATCAATTCGTCAAACACTTTAATTAGGTTTATATTTGGCTACGACCGCGGCGGCGGCGGCGGCGGCGGCGTGGCTCCGCGGTCTGTGCAATTGCCGTGGCGTCGTCGCTGCGTCGATCGCGGCATCAACCGTGCGGCCGTTCGTTGCGTTACACGCGAAACGTTTCAGTTATTATGTAATTTGATACGAGAGGTCGGTATTTTATTTCGCTGGAAATATTAAATGGCCGACTACTATTCTATTTTGCTGTACGATCACAGCGCGCTGCCAAAACACGTTTCACGGCGAAATGGCATCAAGATCACGGCGATAGTTTTCGTTTCGGTTAAAAATACGCTAGACCCGGGTAGTACGGTGCACCTCCGACGGTTCGCGTGAATTTTTCAGTTTCTTCTTTTTTCTTCTCGGTCGCCGCTCCTCTCGTCGTGCACCGTGAAACTTCTCGACAAAAATAGTACAACGTATTTTTAGGAAACACCGGCCCGAGATATAACCGGGTGGTCGGCGGCGGTGGTGGCGTACGCGCGCGGACCATCCGGAGACGACGCTAGATCGTTGTAATTTCGCACGGCTGTTTGCTAAACGCGCTCGCTGGTACGCGAGCCGTGAAAGTGATTTCAGCAGCGACGTATGCGAGCGGCCAACCGATTTTTGTAACGAACAAAGAGAGAAGTTAATAATATCTCGCGTCGGAGATAAAAGGAATATGGGCCAGCGGGAAGCCTCCTAAAATATCCTCGAATTCGAGTCGGTGCGCGACGAATAAATATTTGTTCGGTGAGAATAAGAGATCGCTAACGCAACAACGGGCTCGTTATCGATTGTTGCCACAGCCATTGTCATTTCCTGGTTGAACAATCGTTGCGCTGCGCGCAATAAAATTCGTGAGTGATCCGCGTTATCATCGCTGCACCGGGGCGTCTCTATTAAATTTGCGAAATGTCGAGTGGTGCTCGTATCTCGTATCATCGAGTGTTTCTGTTTCGAATCGGGATGCAGGCGAAAATAAAAATAAAGAGAGAGAGAGAGAGAGAGAGAGAGAGAGAGGAAAATGGGGGAGGGAAAACGAGCGGCTGTACACGGGGAGGATCGAGGAACGTGCCAATTACACGATGGGATACCTCGGCACGGCACACCTTAAAAAAGGAAACACGTGTCGCTATATATAGATCGGTCTATCTGCTGGGATGCTGGCACATATAGTTCATGAATGTTTAGGTCGATAACAATCTTCTTCCGCGGCACGTCAGATAGAAACGAGCATTTTTTATCCTCGTTAATAACTTTCGACGCCGGTGTCTAAATATAGAATCGCGCGAATAATCGATGCGACCTCAAAGTTTTTCTAAGATCTTCGAGGAATCGCGAGAGGACTGGACGAACCGTGAGAGATCTCTCCGTTGACGCTAGGAGTCGACGCGAATTCGATTTGGTCTACTTTAATTCATTGCTCGTGCAACGAAACGAGCATTGTTTCGCAGCCTCTCTGACCTCGTTCAAAATCCATCGACGTCCGTCTTCTCGAACGCGTTCGCTGTCGGTGCGACGCCCGAAATATTTCGATTCCCGTCCGTCCGATCGGACCGACGATTTCGTGGGCTGGTCGCGTTCACCGCAGAGCGTCGCCCGTTCGAATTAACATCGTCAGAGCCAACCTCAAGGTCGGCGGAGTCGGACCGCCGCGATAACCAGAAAATCGTTCTGGTGCAGCCAGTGGGTCACGACCTCCTTCCTCTTTCAATTCTCCTGAGGTCGATAGCCTCATTTCTGTGCGAGCGCGCCAATTTCATGACCTACCTTCCTCGCGAGCCTAAACACCGGCCAGGCCAGCTTCCTGTCCCACGGCTTCGGTGGAAACACTTTGCCGAAAACCAATTTGTGGTACCTGAAATTACTCGAGGAGCCAATTTCGGGGCCGGTGAACGTTGATTTTGGTTGCCGTTGCACGCTCTTTCTTCTATTTACCGTTCGTCGTCCGATCGTCGATCAGCACTTTCTTTATGTCCTATAACAGGATTGACTCGTCGTAGGAACGTTTCTTCGCTACTCGAGTGCTCGAGAAAAAAAGCATCGTTGCTATTTGACATCCGGGCGGCCGTGTGTCCGTCAGTAAATATATTATCATCGTCAACCGACTGTGGATGGTTGCACGGTGGTGTCAAAGCGAAAGACCCACCCCTGTAAGCTCCTCTCTCTCTCTCTCTCTCTCTCTCTTTCTCTCTGTGTACACTCCGGTGTACGTACGTGCAGCTATATAAGTCTGCACGTACGATTGATGGCGGAGCAGCGGTGGCAGTGACCCATGACCCGGATTGGAAACTGGGTGCCAGAGAGGCATACCCGGCGAGGCCGAGAGGGCGAGAGTTGGGGTTAGTATAGGACACCAACGGGGATCGATTTTCTCTCTTCGTGCGCTCTATCCACCCTAGACACCGGCCGGGGTGGTTCTCTCGAGAGGGACGGCGACAGAGAACCGGAGTGTGAGAGAGGGACGCGCGCGAGCGTGGGCGATGAAGAGAATTTCACTCCCTTCGTTGGTCTCTCCACCCTTTCGCTTCAGCCACTTCCTCCCTTCGGTCGCTCATTATCTTATCGCCAGCATTTCTCGATACCCCGATTCGTTTCAAGATCCACTGGCTACCATCTGGAATCGCGTGCACGCAAATTGGGAGCGGGATCGTGGACGCACGCCGCCAGTGTATCTCGCAGCGACGATATCTTGAATGGCGAGGATCGATCGTTACGGCATTGTCGAACGGTGATCCGTTTCAGAGATCTCTACGTCACGCGCGTAATCACCTTTCTCGTTTTTCTGTTGCAGTTTTCTAGATAAGGTAGCCATTGTTAAACAACCAGATTACACCCCCACGGAGCAGGTAATTGTCGACGCGAGAGCGTAGTCGGGCCGCTTAGAAAAATGCTGCCCGACCTCGCAGAGGAGACGGGAGTTTTTGACCGAGCGGCGAATTGATCTGTTTCAGGACATCCTCAGGTGTCGAGTCCTCACATCCGGTATCTTCGAAACGCAGTTTCAAGTCGACAAAGTAAACTTTCAGTAAGTCATCGCCGATAGCTTTACTCGGTTTTACTCCAGCGTCGTCGTCTAACTATATATAGACGACGTATTACAGTAACATCGGCCGGCGGTAAATATAACGCGAACCACACCGACGCGCATCTCATCCCGGCGTGTACATTACAGCTATAGACTCTCAGGTGCTATACGCGCGGAGCGAAATCCGTTAGCCGCGTTAACGCCTCCGCAACTTTATAATATTTCCCCTTTTTGCCTTGGTCCCCCGCTTCGCCCCCCTCGCTCGGGATCCCGTGTGTTTCACGCCGGCGGAGTCTTTATCGGGTCTCGCATGGAATTTTATCCCGCTAGAGTTTAATTTCCGAACAATTTCTTGGTATAAATCGCTCTGAATTAACCGTGGCAAAAAAAAAATTCTTCTCTCAACTCCCATTACGATAGTTCATTGATAAAGATTATTTCTTTTTACTCGGCGCCGCTCGGCGTTGCATAAAATTAAGTATCGAATTTCCGTCCAGAAATATTACAACGGCAGCGGTGCTCGTCTCTTTTTTTACAGTATGTTCGACGTCGGTGGTCAACGTGACGAGAGGAGAAAGTGGATACAGTGCTTTAACGATGTAACGGCAATCATATTCGTAACCGCATGTAGTAGTTATAACATGGTACTCAGGGAGGATCCGACGAAGTTGAGACTCAGAGAAAGTTTAGACCTCTTCAAAAGCATCTGGAACAATCGGTACGATCTAACTCGTTCTCGACGTCGCTCAGCGTCGACCGAGATCGGCAGTGTGCGTTGTTCACCCTCGGCGTCCCGTTTCTGTTCCAGGTGGCTCCGCACAATTTCCGTAATATTATTTTTAAATAAACAGGATCTATTGGCGGAAAAGGTGAAAGCAGGGAAGCACAAATTAGAAGACTATTTTCCAGAGTTCGCACGATATCAAACACCGGTTGAGCCGGGTATCGTGGCGGATCCTTCGGAACCTCCTGACGTTATGAGGGCCAAGTACTTCATTAGAGACGAATTTCTTGTAAGTATCTCGTAGACAGCGGCAAACCGCTCTCCGCCAGGGCCGTCGTACGAGCTCTCCCGTACGAAGGTCCTTCGAAGTCCGATCTTCCCAGCGACAGCTGTACAAAAGTTCGTTTTTCGGATTGTTCGCAGCGTATAAGCACAGCGAGCGGTGACGGCAAGCACTATTGTTATCCGCACTTCACATGCGCCGTCGATACGGAGAATATCAAGAGAGTGTTTAACGATTGTCGGGACATCATCCAGCGGATGCATTTGCGCCAGTACGAGCTCTTGTGACTTCGTTCCTGCCGGCATGTCCTGTCATCTATCCGTATAAAAATCACGATAGTGCTCCGCGTCGAGCTGAACGCGAGTCGAGCAAGAGCCGGTCGTACCGCGGCGGGCGATCCGTAACAAGTATCGCGAACGTACGGCAAGTATAAAACATCGGCGCGTAGAGACTCTTCTTCGCGTATGTCTCTGATGCCGTTTTAAATCAAGTTGCAAGATGTTGAAGCGCGTCGAAGAATCGCGCGTGTACGCATGATCAACGACCGTCGCGAGCCGCGAGTTCTTCTTCTGCTTCGACAGGGGAACGTTCCAAAGGAGAAGCTGATCACGGAGCGGGTGGGTGGGTTGGTTACCTAAATACGGATTAAATCTGTCTCGCAACAGAGGGGAATAATATCGTGGTTCTCTTTTTTGCACAGAATCGCTTACTATCTCATTGGTGTACAAGCAAATTATGCCCTCGCGCATCCTTACTCCAAACAATCGTTTCGACGGAGATGATGAAAAGAAATAAAACAGAGCATCGGGCATTTTCGATAACTCGACTCCTCTTTTAGGTTTCATCGAGAGTGTGCTGAACGTCGCGATTTTCGTGGGGACGGGAGGAGGAGGGGGAGGGGGTTGAGGGAGGATGAAAATAATATTCGTTACTAGGGAAAAAAAAACACGTGCAATTTTAACTATTACCTCGTTAATTTTATTCTTATTACGCATCAATTCGTTGATAAGAGGGAGGAAAGGAGACAGGGAGAGGGAGGGAGAGAGAGAGAATGTGGAGCGGGTGGATGCGCGCGTATGTGGACGAGAGTAAGAGACGTACGAATGTTTCAAAGGGAAAAAGAAGAAAGAAAAATACGTGGGCCGGTGTTACGATGTGACACATGACGGCGATCGTGTAACGGCTCTTTCGTCCGGCACACTCGTCGCGTTATTGTATCACGTTCAGATTTTAGCGTTAAGAACATTTCCTAAGACTTAGGTAATTTTCTCCGACGAAAAAGAATCCTTATCGTTATCTGACGTTTCTTTACTCATGTTCCGAATCTCTATTTTTCTTTTTCTCTGCCCCTTGAAGGAAGAAAGTGGAAAAAGGGGGGGAAACGATTTAATTATTATACACGATCTCTCCGACGTTTATTGGTAAAATGAATTATTTTCGAACTTCCGAATCTCGAAACTTTTTAAATCGCATTGGCCCGACCCGTAGAAGACTCAGCCGCACCTTTTTACAATGAAGAGTATTTTGTGAGATTTTACAGTATTTCGAAGAGCGTTTTAATTATATAAACTATGTATCAAATATGTACAGGGTGACCGTCCACGAGTTCATGTTTTTATGTGCGTTTCCTAACGAATCGAGATTCCTCACTGATATCGTTTTTACTGATTTCCATTAAAGCTATACTTTAATTCGTGTACTTAGGGCACATGTATCATCGTCATTGTAGCCTAGTGTCTACATGTAAATTCCTAAACGTACGCAAAAGGGAGAGGAGGGTAAAAGGGAGAGAGAGAGAGAGAGAGAGAGAGAGAGGGGGAGAGTGAGCAGCAGCGAAAGAGAGAGGGGGAGGGAGGGAGCAACGTGCCACGGTCGAAGAGAAATTCATCGTTTTGCACGTACACTTTCGACCATGGCATCAGGGCTCCGATGTTTACAACAATCAAAGTAAAACGTTACGGACACACAGAGAGGTACCGATGTACACGCTGCTCGTTCGTTCGAGTTCGTAACAGGTGAAAAAGAGTCCCGCGTCTAAGTTTCTCGAGTGACGAAATGCTTCGTGTCCCGTGGAGTGTGCGAAGGTGAACGCGTGTGAAATCTCGGTCGGTGCATCCGGATCACGATACGATCAGTCGTCGTCGTCGTCGGAACATTTCTTAGGATAAACGAACGAGCCTCCTGAACCAAAGTGCGATGTGCGAATTTCTTATCTCACGTAACTGTTACTATTTGGACACCCTGTATATGGTAAGCATCCTATCGTTTTCTTTAAAATCTCGACTCTCTTGTCTTTACTACTTACTTTACTTTCACTTCTTTACACTTCTCCTGTTTTTTTTTTTATTTCTCTCTCTCTCAATTTCATACTTGAACCCAAAGAAACGAGAGGGGTGTTTTGTACGCGTGTGCGAACCGCTTCGGAGGTACGCGCATTGCAGCTATTATCTCGCACGTGCGTACACGTGCGTTCTATTATAAATGCATAAACTGGTGAATTGATATATAACGTAGCCACTAAAAAAAGAAGAAGAAGAGGAGATTCGTCTCGGAACGGGTATCCTCTCGTCCCCGTGGCAGTTCACCCCGCGTGCGTACACCCTCCTGCACCTGGATTAAACTGCGGGTTACTGATGTGTGTAACGTCTAATACTTTTATAATAGGTAACGTCAGAGTTTAACGTCGAATTAAACTGATTAAAAATAAGAAGTACGAGTAAATAAGCCACGTCCCGGTGGTTTACAGCGGCGCGACGTTAAATATATTCGGGCATCCGGTCTTGCTATCCTTATTATCGTCTTGTTCCAATCCGATACTTTTCTAATCGAAACTCAGTAATCGTTCCCTAGTAAACCGAACAGAAGAATCCGAATAGCTGCAACAATCTTTTTTTATTTCTTCTTTTCTTTATATACACCTTTCGTTGTCTCGCTGCACCCTTGCGAAAGTACATTGGGTCGGCCGAGGCGCTTTCGATCCTCGGGTTAATTCAGTTTTTCACAACGGCACAAATTTTCCGGACGGCCCAATGTATCGTTGTCTTCGTCTCTTCTCCGGTACGAATCCTCTCGCGCTCGGCGATGCATGGGATAATTTCATATCTATCTCTCTTTTGACCCGCTCGAACGGTGTTCCCGTTTAATCACGTTTGAAACACTGTGGCCGTTGAAACGATGAGGATAGAAATTCCGGACATTGCATAACGGTTGCTCCGTAAATGCTGACGAGCCCACACCCTCGTAAATGTACTCTCGTGTAATATCAATGTACGGGCCCGTGTCTACATACATATTATATGTATACCTATCGCACTAATACATAAACCGACAAGCCATAGTTTGTAAACGGTATTTATAACTTTACGAAGTGTTATTTTTACTGTAAAACTTGATGACGGATGTAGGAGTGCGGTGGCAAGGATGCGAGGGAGCGAAAGGGAATATATAAAAAAATAAGGGAACCTGTGCGTCTATACGAATATACATAAAGCATAAAACATAAATAATTACCTGTCGATGAAACAAACTTCCGTGAAACTTTTAATGTTCACCCAGCACAAAGAGACGCGAATCGTCGTTTCGTGCGCGCGCGTCTGTGTGTGTGTGTGCGTGTGCGTGCGTGTACATGCGTGTATGAACGGGTATCGCGTAATTAGCATCGTTGCGAGTATTCTTTTTTTTTCCTCGTCGTATACGATTTTTTTTTAAAAACGCGTTCGTTCTGATTTCAAGCGCTCGCCACGTCGGACGGGGTAGTAGAGAAAGGATCGACGTCCGCCTCGGTTGGTCGCGATGCAATAAAAACGCACGCAAAGGAAGAGATATATTATATCTACTGTTTACTGCTCGTTGGATGTGAACGAAATCCGTAAATGTAATTTATAATTGACTGTTGTGCGCGCGTACGCAAGTGAGAGACAAATAAAATGAAGAGAAGTATCGAATTAAACGACCATTACACGTGGCCAGATATACATACATGCGTAGATAGTGATTATACGTGTATACATACGCCGATCGCACAAGTTTTCGTTTCTTTTACTCTACGTACAATGTACCGGGCGCAGCGAGTGTACTATAACCGTGTACGCGTGAAAAACGACCGGTGCAAGTGATTATTATCATTTGTAAATACGACTAGGACAGAAGACAATGACGTATCGATGCTTCGACGAAGCCGATTCGGAATTGTGCGAATGCATTTAAATCTCTCGATGGTAGTCAAGACTTTTTTTTTTAAAACGTCTCAAGACTCCCCTAGTGTCGAGTCTACTTTTCTACGGAACACGTTGCTCTTTGTTCTGTCATCCCATTCGTGCAATCTCATTCGCGGACTGTGGTCGAGAGCATTGCCTTAAGAAGCGAAAGTCAAAGTAGACGAGTGGGTAAGGTTGGAAACGAGTCACAGCATTGCCGGCAAGTATCGTTGATTAATTAATAATCGAATGCTTGTTCGTTCAGGAATGTGAAATTACGGCCCGATCGGTTACACGTTTCTAACGAGGCCACGTCTGCTCGTAGATAGATACATACGCGTTTACGTTGAGAGTACAGAGTCATTTATTGTGATCGTCTTATCGTTACACTGTTAAAAAGAAAATTGTCTTTACCACTTACTTAGTCAGATTTTATTGAAACGGATCGTGTAGTTTATATTATTATTATTATTATCATCATCGTCGTATCACGCTCATCGTCTCATTCTCATCGTCGTTATTATATATTGTCATTATTATTGTGATCAGCGATTACTGCTGTAATCATTGTTGAGAGGATATATATTCGGGGGAGAATCAACTGTGTCTCACTGAACGACCGCGATCCGCCCTGAACACACCTAACCTTCTCTCGTCAAAGAAAAATCTTATGATCGTTCGTCAGATCGCGGTTCCGGTACGATTCAGTGAGAGACAGTTTTCAAAAGTCTTGATACAAGACGAAGGTCGGCTCGCGAACGACGTGCACATCTGCGTACGTGCATACGGAGGCTGGATAATCGTTTTGAAAGTTGGAATTAAATCGATGACGCATACGCGAATGCAGCGGAAAGTCAACAGGCTAAATCGTTTGAGATTCGGTTAAACGACGCCGATGCGTTTTCCATCGTGAAGGTGCTACATATACTTCTTTCGATTCTTGCTAAATCGCATTCGCTCCGGAACCGGATATGTCGAGGCGACGCGTCGCGTGCATCATTGTTTCTCTTTCTTTCGACTCTTCAACGTCTTCGTTGGCAACGTAGTGTTAATCGATTGCGTCAGGCTGCTACTCGCCTCGGAAAGTTCTTTGAACATTTTCGCTGATCGTCACCGCGACACAATTGACGAGTGTTTCGTCGATCGGAGTCGCGGAGCGTAGAACGAGTAAATTTTCCAAATCTCTTTTCGCTGGCCTGCGGATGTTTTCTACGTGCAAATTCATTTCTCCGCGTTCGCAGTTCACCTCGGGTACCTTTTATGTTCACGCGCATTCCGGATATTTCTTGATCATTTAAGCACGCGAACATCCACAGTCTACTTGTTCCGCGCAGTGAAAAGAACACGTTCCATCGAGCTCTATCTAGAAAAATCTCGACGACCGTTCTCTATCATGATTCCAAAACGTTTCCCGATCGTGGATCGTGCCTTTCTACAGTTCTCTCAAACCGTTTCGTTGATTACTTCGTACTTGATCGGAAAATCGAGACTGCTTCAATAGAACTCTCGGAGGACCGCGTCGAAGTGATCTTACCGTCGACGAGAGCCCGTTCATCCATTGATTCCTCGTTCGTTCGATCGCCGGATCTCGACGTAAGACCACTTGGACCCGAGGTCTCATTAGGTAAAGAGAAATAATGAAGCGGGTGCGTGAAAGACAAGAGAAAGAAGCTACTTGTGCCTCGAGCGCGGCAACTATCCTATATTCGTTGAACGAACAGTCGAGAGGAGAACAGAGCGAACGATGTTCTCGACTGTCGCCACGTTATTCTATAAAACTAATTTCTATGGAAATATATGTGTACGGTGGATCGATCGTCGATGTTGTCCGAGAATCGAACTTTTTTTCTAGTCTTCGTCATCTTGCTCGCTAGGATCCGGGAAACGAGAAAAATAGATACCGAATACTTCTTCGATGGTGTTCGAACCTTGGAGACCGGGGAACATTCGAACGTTTTATTGGTAATCACGTCGGTCCTAGCGGTGAACGGGAAGGGCGACCGGGTCCCTCGATCGTGTGCATGTATATCCGCGCGGAAGAACGCGCGTGTACGGGGAGACTAATTGCGACGGAGGAAGAAGAGAAAGAGGAGAGCTACCGACTCGTCAATAAGTACGTTCCCCCGCCCCCAAGAAACAAAACCCGTGTTTTCTCCCTAATTCTTAATGAATTCGTTGTTGCGTGTCTCTTAGAAGTATGTTTAGCTGACAGAAAATAAAGAAACAAAAAATTTAAGGAAGATGAATTCGATGCGCGAAACTCGAGAGCGAAAGGAGGGACCGTAACGTTCGTAATGAGCGTTGATTGTACACGTACGAAAACTACAGACGGACAAAAGTGAAGAAGAAAGATGTGCGTGGTGTAAATGAGTAATTGAACAGGTGAAACTCGTTAGGAAAAATGAAATTCAATGTTGTCTACCCCATGATTTTCTCTCTCTCTCCGTGTTACTAAATGAAAAAAAAAAGACCACGTGAAAACGAGTACGAGGAATTTTCTGTTTCAAAATAAACCGTCTAGACTTAATCGAGTTTTCACGATGATGGGACTGCACAATAAAAATAAAATCGCATCGGTGGAAAATGGGAAAAAAAGAGAAATTAACAAGCTGATACATATTGCGTGAGATGCAATCAAATGAAAAGATATGGTTACTATATAAAATACGCGAACCGGTATTGATCGCCCGGCTCGTTTAGTTGTCGATGCTATTTAAGTAAGAATCGTGGGGTGGACATGTAGGTATATATGATAAACTGATATGCATATAAATACATAAATAAATATATATATTATATATATGTTATATATATTATATATATATTATTATAAATATAATTCATTGAGTTAATGCGATCGAATGCGATACCGCGTGCGTGGCGAAACTAGAGTGTGCGTTGAGCAGAGAAGAGACCGAGAGAGAGAATAACTCGAACGACTGTAAATGTGTTTTTAAATTACAAGAAGATAAAAAAAAAGATATTTCATTCTCATTCTGTGATGACTGTCTGAATATGGAGAGTAAACAAAAAAAAAAGATGTTTTCATGAATCTATGCTGATTAATCAATTAAATTATTATATAGCGAGTAAAAAGGAAGGGTTCGACTCGTGTTGTACTGACTGCGCGAAGAGAATAAATAAAGGAGAGACCATCTACGAGCGTAAAGATATACGTGCGTCTCGTTCGCTCGCGTGAACCAGACACGCGTTACGTACATGGTACAGCGCGTGCCACGGCGCGTGTCGCGCGTGGATCATGTGCCGTGTTTGAGAAGATGAGATATAATGAAAGGGAGGACACGTACGCTATATCCGAATGCAGAAGAGGAGAGCAGTATGATTTGTATACTGTATAACTTTAGTCGTTTACCATTGATTTCGAGAAATGTGTATAAATTATTATGTGTAATTAAACAGAGGTCATTTAGTAAGTTCTAAGAGTATATAATATACGATATATTATATATACTATACAAAAAAGAAAAGTGAATCACAAAAGACGCGCGCATGTGCCGCGCACATGCACATATACAAGACAAGAAATGGGAAGTAAAAAAGAAACAAAGATATATTGTGAAAATTACAAAATCAACAACCACAGCAAGGCCCACTGTATTATACATTTGTGTAACTAAAATAGCGATGGTACAATTATGAAGAATTATAAAGATACAATAAACACTTACCGTATGTCTTATATACACATATACAAATGCTATCTGAGTCACACGTTTTCTTTTTCGAACAAAATCTATCGGAGATGGTTCCATAGAATCAGACGACATGTTTCGCGAAGGCAAAATGTTTTATTACTTGTAACAAATTTATACACTCGAAAGTACGGTATATTTATAAATATTAAGGAATCGTTCGAGCATCGTGCAGCGAGTCACTTGGAGACGGGGTAAAGTCAAAATCCTACGGCTGAAGACGGTTCACTTCACCGCTTTGGCAATGTGCCTCTTCAAGTACAGGAGTTGCGTATTCGATTCCAACAACGATAACACGTTCACGAAAGGCATCATTTCCTCGCTATGATTCTGATAGTTCGAGCCTACGAATCATTACGATCAGATGGGTTCACCTGATTCCCGACGAAACATACTTACCCATCGCCGCTTTCTTTTCTCCGTACACAACTTTCCCGTCAAAGTCGTTCATCGGCACTTTCATGTCCGGGTCCACTTGCTGAATTGTAATGTTCAAGTGATCCTCGATGTCAGCTAGATACTGGCAAGAAACGTGATCGTTAACGTGGAAGGAACAAGTAGTCAGATTTCGTGAAACTCACGTTCGGCTCGTTGTACCAAATGCAACATCCGCCCTTGTCGGTGAGATTGGTATTGGAACAGTTCCTTCCACGGGAGGTACACCATTCACCGTGATACCACACTTTCTCAGGAACTTTACTGACCAACGAAATGGCCAGACCCATTCGTTCGGCTCGACCCACTCTACCGATGCGATGAACGTAATTCGATTTCTCGTCGGGCAGTGTTATATTGATCACTGACAAAACGATCGTTTGATTAATAAATCCGCGTGAACCGTTCAGAATGAAATAGAGGACACGTACTGAAAGGCAATCCGCTAATGTCTAAACCTCTGGCCGCGACGTCGGTACAGATCAAGAACTTGACGTCTGCTCGTTTGAATTTCTCCAAGTTAGATTTACGTTCCGCAGGTTTGCGGTCGCCGTGCAGACACACGCAAGAAAATTGCTTGCCATCAGATTGTTTCAAATATCGTTCCAGATTGTCGCAATCTAATTTAGTTCTGCAGAAAATTATAGCTCTGTCCATGTTGTGCTCCTTGATAGCGCGAATACAATATTCGGCTTTTAGGATTTTCACAGCCTCCGAAAGGGTTTCTGTAGAATACATTTAATCGCACAATTAAGACGTACAAAAATATTATGAACGGTCCAACGCCGAACGTACCAGGATTATTACTCCCGGGTCTCACGTTATCTCTACTATGGACGCCATCGGTCTCGATGTGGTGTCTCAGATTGTGCCAAGACTTGTCCTGCTGCGGGTCTATCATCACGACGACGTGGTGCACCGTTTCAGGCACAGCGTCTTCACCCTTCAAATCTACCCACGTTGGAAAATGCATCAAACGTTCCTACGCAAAATAAAGCGTCATTCCACGCACCACATCATTTATATTTCGCAGAAAGACCCTTAATTCTTACAGCCATCTTTTTGACTTCAAACGCGTGTAACGTTGCCGAACAAACGATCATTTGCAATCTTTTTCCATCCGACGTGATCTTTGGTATTTGTTGATGCAAACGTTCGATCAATTGCGTGTATCCCTGTTTCAACAGACCATCAGCTTCGTCCAAGATAAAGAACCTGCGAGAAAATCATAGTATAATATCTACGAGTGTATATCGATGAATTTTATAATACCTGCAATGAGTCAGAGCCAAGTATCCGCCTTGTATCAAGTCTTCTAAACGACCAGGCGTTCCGACCACTATGTCCACACCGGAATTTAACGCAGCAATTTGATCCTTCACGCTGACACCACCAATTACTAATAGATCCTTGATCGTGGGATCTTTCAAATGTTTTTTGAACTATACCAAAACACCAGTATTTAATATATCTGATAAAATGATCTCGATCGCTGATTCCTTACCTTCTGAATTTGACTGTATGTTTGTTCAGCGAGTTCTCTAGAAGGCTCGATTATTATAGCTTGAGGGGCATTGCATTTTGGCTTTCCATCATCTCTACTCTGACCCTGATTACTATTTATGGGGTTTTCTCTCACGACTTCCTTAGGGGCCGACGCGACGGCTACGTAGTCGCTCGGCGGTGGATATTTAAATGGTTGTGCACCGAAGTTGAACGACATTTCCGCATTTTTCAATACCACGGCTGGATAAAATGTTTGCGATTTCTGTTGAGCATTTAGGGTGAATGCCACACCTAGATCTACACCGTTTTTAGTGAATCTGATTTCACCCTTTGACAAGTCTAAGAGGCATCCAATTACATCGTGCATTCCAAATGCCTCTCCATAACTGTCGAACTGTTTGGCATTCGATTTTTTACCAGTGCCACCGAAGCCAAACCCAAATTTATCCGTTCCTAAGTCCAACACGGCCTGTTTTATCAAATAAAAGCTACTGTATTATATTTTTACGATACGAAGAAGTGATTACAATTTTTATTAAATACTTGAGACGTGGACCAGCCCACGCGACATAATCCCTCGTCAGTTACTATAGCTTCAAAGAAGTATTTCTCTTTCCCTTGGATCCCCTTGTTTGCCCTACAGCCATGCCATTCCTTTTGCTCACGACTTTGGCACCTTAGACCATCAGGAGTTACAGCCAGTGCTCTGCCTCTGTCAAATAAACTCAGCGACCAATGCTTAGCTGCAAAGAATTAAGAGTTCTTTGAAAACTGAACACAGATAATATAAGTAGGGAAGGAAGGAAAGAGATACTAACAATGTTGAGCCTGAGTCTTGGGAGCATTGCCTGTTTTACCAGACTCGAGATCTTTCAAGGTTTCCCATACAATTTGCAGAACTGGCAGGCAAAAAGCGCCTGTCTTCCCACTGCCAGTCTCTGCAGCCATCAAGACATCTCCGCCACCCAAAATCAGTGGGATCGCCTCTGCTTGGACATCAGTTGGCAATCTAAAATATTTCAATAGTACCTGACGTTTTGTGTACTGCATATCGCGGAATTCCGGTTTACTCACGTCCACTCCATTTCATCGACGGCTTTCCCGATTTCGGGTAAAACACCCATTTCTAAAATAAGATATTGACATATGCACAGTTGTGATCATTTCGTCGAACATTTTTAGCTACAGTTTTCCTTGTCTTAATTATTAAATCGTTAATGTATTTAGTAAAATATGCTTACCTTCGAACGCCGTCATTGTTACGCCTTTAATTTAAGTTCCTTCTTAACTAAACGTAAAAATTCAACAACGTTCACCGGCGTGGTTTTACGAGATCAAAATATTACATCGTCCGACGTTGACGTTTTTATCTATATAAGATCAGAGAGGAAACGAGAGTGCTCACTGCTCATCTGCTCGGGTTTTGCGTGTTCCTCATACTAGTGCTGCCCCCAGCTTTTTCTTGCAAGGATCTGAATCTGACACGGTTTTTCTCGTAACAATTAATGATCCACAATGATCACCACGTGAATGCAACAATTGAACTGAATTGAACTATCGCGTAAAAATGCTGACGCTCAGAAACATTATCACGAAAGTGCACACGTGCTCGTATCAAGCATTGACGTACTGCACGAAATCCAGTGAACAAATTCCTCAGCAAGGTACAGAGCAAATCGAGGAACAGATTACAGAGCAAATTGATCCGATTATTTCTAAGAAGAATTTCGACGACGAAAAATTCCTCTACCAAAAGCCGCGAGAAGTATGGCTGGAGAACTTGGACACCGTTCAGAGTAAAAAATTAGGACTCGTACAACTACATCCCACTGTTTATGGAGCAGCTCCAAGGATAGATATAATTCATCAAAATGTGCAATGGCAAAGGATGTATCGTTGGGTGGTACGTATCAATCGTCTCGATCAATTCGTAACATCGTAATTTGTTAACGGCATGAATTAATTTTTTGTTTCAGTGTTATGCACATACGAAAACACGTGCAGAGGTAAGAGGCGGTGGTAGGAAACCGTGGCCTCAGAAGGGAACAGGCCGTGCACGTCACGGCAGCATACGTTCTCCACTGTGGAGAGGAGGCGGTGTCATTCATGGTCCCAGATCTCCTACGACCCATTTCTACATGCTACCCTTTTTTACCAGAATCGCTGGGCTTACATCCACGCTGTCTGTGAAATTAGCCCAAGACGATATGTACATTGTTAAAGATCTAGAGATCCCGACAAAAGAAAGATCGTATATAGAAGAACTAATAGATGAAAGAAAATGGGGTCCCTCCGTGTTATTTGTTGATACCGAAGATATGATGCCTATAAATATTGCCGAAGCTACAGATACGATCAAGCATGTAAATTTAATGCCGGCGTATGGTAAGTTATCATAATTCTAATTATCTTTTATATTTCGTACAATTCTCATTTCTCTTTTTAGGATTGAATGTCTACAGTATGTTGAAACATGACACTTTAGTTCTGACCGAAAGAGCTGCGCGCTTAATCGAAGAGAAAATACTGTTTCAATATCACAGGCCAGACAGTCGTAAATTAATGTCAACAAAGAAGCTGAATCAGTAATTAGGGAAAGAATTAAATATCCGTTTATTATATATCAAATTACATTTATTTATTACAACGTTAAACAGATTCTCCTTGTAACAGCTCAACATAATTATGTGTCCCAGTTTCATCCTAGGTAAAATCCAATTCTATCTCGAACCTTGGTCATTTCCTCTTCAACGTCGGCATACTAACAGACTTCTTTGGAAGAGGCTGAAAGTTTAAATATTATAAAAAGAATTAAATGCTAATTTCTAACTATAAAACGTCCTTACCATTGGATGGGGATCCGTGCCTAACATTTTCTCACGAATTGCCCATCTTATGCTCGAGTGCTTGGCTTCTCCAGGAAAAGACATTTGCTTCCATTCCTGTTGATACCTCTGATAGAGAGTAACAGGATCAGATTTTCTCGCACTTAAATTCTTTTGAACCTCTGGTTGTAGCCTCCAAGGTCTAATAACTGTACACAGTAACGAGAGAGTAAAATCCATGTATGCGTAAAGTTAAATATGTGAGAATCTTACAAGACTTTGTATTCCTCGTAGACGATGTGCTTTTCGTTTGGCTACTCGCAACGCACTCTCGGTGTTCCAATATGTTTGGAGCACTCATAGGTCGTGCAGAGTGCAAGGTATTTGATTTTGGTAAAGTATCTGATACATCGTCGTGTTCAAGTTTCGTCCTACTCTGTTTCTCTATATGAACATTCTTCTTCGAGAGACTCCCACATTTATTTCTACTGTTCAAACAAAGCTTTTCATCTTCATTGTCACAGGAAACGCTGCTGGATTTAATACTGTAATGATCTTGAGCTCTTTTGGGCTTCGACTTCAATTGTATCATGTCCACATTGCTCCTCGCGTTTTCATAGTTCTCTTCAGAATTCGCAGAATTTATGTTCTCCTTGTCGCTCGACATACATTTCACTCTCACCTTTACAAAAGACGTGTCAATATAGGAACTGGAAGAATTAGTAGAAAATGTATTTTCGATCGAACGAAACTCTGTCTTTTGTTCTGTGAGAATTTCTCTGATCACGTTCCTCTGCTTATCTATTATCCTTCTCCTTATCTCTTCCTTTCTTTGCTGCCTCTCACGATCTTTTACTTTTCTGTACAACTTCAAGTCTTGCGTCGAAAAAAAATATACATAAGTTCGCGCGTATTACGATGTTATGAACGATACGCAGAAAATATTTGAAGAACGAAAAATTGTTTACAATACCTTTCATGAAATCTTTAAGTTGTTGCGCGGTGATCCCAACGAAACCCAAGGAGTTTAGGAGAGCAAGCACTTCTTTAGGATCGTCGTTCATTGTTAATGTAATAATGTTGATTTATAACAATAAAATATGCGAAGAACGATCACCGTTTGTTCTCGTATACACCATTCAAACGGCAGAAACGTTAAAATCCGTCTCCTTGCAAAGTGGAACGATCACTTATTTCAAACGAAAGTACAAGCCCTCCGATGAATCAATTTGCGCCCTTTAAGATTCACATTAAAGCTAACAACTCAGAGAATAAGTAAATTCGTGCTTAATCACGGTATCTATCGCACTTTTAAAAATATAAACAATTCTTTATAGGATATTTCGATGAATTTGAGTAACATGCGCTACTACTGGAAGTTGGTCGAACTATGTCGACATTGTCGACCGCCAGTAAAGTACTCCTAAAGGACAAACAGAAATTTAAATACCACGGCTTCTAATAATGACCCGGTTTTAAAAAATTAAACGCGTACAGCGTAAAAATGGGGGTAAATATCACAATCAGATAGAAAGAAAATTGTTCTCTGATCTTTCAGCTTTAATTTAACCGGTAATACGTCCAAATCGGTTCATCGAGAGCCAAGACATCAATATCTTTCTGAAGGCTACTTTTACCATTATTCCACGACATCGTCGTCAATAAATCTCTCTTAAGGATGTATTGGCTATACAGCCAATCCCAAAAGTAAAAAGAAATCAGACGTCGGAAGAACAATGCTAATAATAAATAGATACGTGCTAAAAAGTATAGAAGGAAATATTCAATTAATTATTGACGCTGGCAAAAAGCTTTCCATATAGAAATTTTAGGCACTGACATCCTCTACAAGAAAGATTCTATACATTTGTCTTCTAACTCCAGTATTTAACGAGTTAAGTGCAGTTAATTGGCATTTTATTGGCAATGACGAAATTCGACCGTCGAATCCAGCGAACTTTTGACAATAAATTTCGTTTTTCGTCAATAACTTCGAAACGGATGAACTTAGAGAGTCGTGTATGGGATCATTTTATAGAAGACGACGAGATCTACAATCTCTATATAACAGTTTCTCGCTAGCATCAATAGTTTACGAGTAATTTGCAAAAAACTGTTTTTCGTTTTTTGCAAATAACTCGGTAACTATTGGCACTAGCGAATTCTTTTTGCACAGAACTTGTAGATCTCGTCGTCCCCTACAAAATGAGCGTACATACGTCCCTCTACGTCCATCCGTTCGGGAGTTATTGACGAAAAACGAAAAACTGTTTTTTGCAATTTACTCGTAAACTATTGATGCTAGCGCAAAACTATTATATACGAATTGTAGATCTCGTCGTCCCCTACAAAATGAGCGTACATACGTCCCTCTACGTCCATCCGTTCGGGAGTTATTGACGAAAAACGAAAAACTGTTTTTTGCAATTTACTCGTAAACTATTGATGCTAGCGCAAAACTATTATATACGAATTGTAGATCTCGTCGTCCCCTACAAAATGAGCGTACATACGTCCCTCTACGTCCATCCGTTCGGGAGTTATTGACGAAAAACGAAAAACTGTTTTTTGCAATTTACTCGTAAACTATTGATGCTAGCGCAAAACTATTATATACGAATTGTAGATCTCGTCGTCCCCTACAAAATGAGCGTACATACGTCCCTCTACGTCCATCCGTTCGGGAGTTATTGACGAAAAACGAAAAACTGTTTTTTGCAATTTACTCGTAAACTATTGATGCTAGCGCAAAACTATTATATACGAATTGTAGATCTCGTCGTCCCCTACAAAATGAGCGTACATACGTCCCTCTACGTCCATCCGTTTGGAAGTTATTGGCAAAAAACAGAAAAACAGTTTTTTGCAAATAACTCGGTAACTATTGGCACTAGCGAATTCTTTTTACGCAGAAATTGTAGATCTTTTTAATAGTAATATTAATCTATAATAACAATGTCAACATGCTAGCATTGTTTAAGTACATAGCCTATACATCCTTAAAAAATATGTCAGGGATGTTCAAATAAAAGCCTGAAGTTTCTCAGGAGTTTTATTTAACTGTGGGACCTTATATAAAAATAAGTGTATCAAATATAGAAATATAAGAAATACTACGAGGAATACATGTTGCAATGTAGAACAACACTTCCGACACAGAAAGAAATAAAATTCATGTGGTCAAAGGCTCCCGAGAAACATTTCTCACCGTGAACGTTTTTATTAAATAAATCGTTTCCTTTCGACGGTCAACCCTATCCTCTCCCTATAGATCGTTTCGAAGCGTTCATGTGGCGAGCAAAGTATTAATCGGTAGTTGCGCAGAACCTTTCACCTGCGCTTGATTTAAGTTTAACGAAGCATGTTTAATTGTGCATCAGTCTGAAAACTGATCACCATAGAAAATGTCGTCAGCGACGAACGATATCTCTCTGCTGTTCATTGTGATATTACTGAGAAATCATTTCCCAGGTAACAGTGCTCTCCCTCAACTTGAAAAATCGAACTTGACAAATTGAAAGTGGCGCAAGAACAAAGTGCAACTATCTTTCAGACGTACAAGCATCAAAAATTTATGCTTTAGACGTCCCACTTGTAATACGCAATGGAAGTGGCCCGATTGATTTGTCTTGCATTTACAACGTTAAAGAACACGAGAACGGTCTCGTGGTGAAGTGGTATCATAACACGGATCAGATCTATCAGTGGATACCGCCAAGTAACGTCTATTACGATTGAGATTTCAGATCCACCGAAAAGGTACGTATCCATGATCCCCTTCGTTGTGACTATAATTACAGTGCCGCCACAGGACGTAGGAGTCATAAGTGGTTTCGCCGAATATCCTGAAGAATATTTAAGACATCCTAATTCGCGATCGATCATACGTTTGAAAATGGCAACGCTCGAAATGAGAGGCGATTATACCTGCGCGATCAGCACCTTTCAAGAAGAAGACGCGAGAAGAACGAGGATGACTGTTTACGGTAATTCCTTGATCATGAATGAACATGTGTCCAACAGTATGAATTTAAATGTTGTGTTTCAGAGCCGGAAAGTAACGCGACGATTCACGTCTCTTCGTTCAACGAGAGTCATATGAACGTAACGTGCGTCGTAAATGGAGCACAGCCGCGACCGATGTTAAAGATTTACGTGGAGGGCATGGAAGTGAACAACTATTACGATAAATCGGTGAAAATCATAGGATATCAAGATACGTTCTCTACGAAACGAAGCGCGATCATGAGCAACGCTCTGGAACCTTTACTATTAGAATGCGAAATTTCTATCCCGTACACGGATTACAAACGAAGAGAGAAGATCGTTTATTATCCTAGTCAGGATCGTTCCGATAAGTATGAAAATAAGAATCCACGTTTAGTCTAACTGTGTATCTTTCGTTCTCAGCTCAAATGCTGTCCCAGACGAGTGGTGCGTCAAGAAATCGAGATCGCGCTATCGGTATTATCGTTCTTTTCTGTATTCGTGAAGTGTTAAGGAAATAAGGAAGAATAAAACTCACGTTTCATCATAAATACGACGTTTATTTCCGTGCCATCTTTAAATCCACTTTCTTATACGCTTCATCGCTGCCTGAAGTACAGACTGTTCGGTTCCGCTGGAACGAGCCTCCATTTTATCTAACAGTTTCTTACTCTTCTTTTTAATCATGTTCCACTGCAATTTGTCCAAACCAGGATACGACTCTTTGGCCAGGAGATCTATCAGGTCCGATTTACTCTTGACATCGTCAAAAGTTAATATTTCCTTCGAAGCTCTTTTTTTCGTCGATCCTTTTAATTTCACTTCGGTGCTCGTCGACTCGTCTCTCGTATTTCCGGCACGTTTCTTCTCAGCACGATTTAAATTAAAAGAATGACGATCTATAGTTTCTACAAAACAAAAAGAATTTATGATCCAGCTCGATACTAACAGTAAATTATACTGCTTCTATGAACATTTTACCTCCCGTATCATCGTTAGGAACGACTTTCTGAGTGTCAACACTTGAGTTAAGCGTATCAAGATTTTCTACGTGTGAGGACGACTCTTCCAATTTTATTGTTCTATAAGAATCTTGTACATCGAGAAATGGATCTTCGTCGGAATCGTGATCGCGTGGCGTCAGTAATTTAAACATCGTATTTTTCACTCCATACGTTTGCGGAACTCTGAACAAATATACAAGTTATACGATCGTTACGATTTCTACATAACGATTTATCGCATATGTTTTTACATGCCTTGGAGTGATCTCGTCTATCCATGGGACTGCCAGCCATGATTTTAAATCGCTTGTGAGTTCATGATCGGCAGGCAGCCAAGGTAGACCGGAAACTTTGAGCAATTTCAAATGTGGATATAAATCATTGTACCACGTGCACGATCTCGAAACTAAATACCTCGACAACAGCCTACGATGTGATATGTATTATAATTTTTATACAGGCAACTTTCCGATTTATATTAAACGATTAAAAGATAACATACCATATTCTACTGACGACAGAATATGCGACTAAAGCCATGGACCAAGCATGACCTAAATTTATTCTGCATTTAAGATAATACGCAGAATACTTAGAAACCTCTTCCACGCGTAACATAAGTTTCGCAAAGCCTTGCGTTTTAACTAAAACGAATTCTACCATTTGCCTACTCGGCAACGTAACGAACTTCTCGTCCACCTCGACGTAATTCTTCAAATTCTTATATTCTTTCTCAAGGCACAGTGACAAGTATTTGAGCAAAGCTTTGTTCAACTTACACATCGACTTTAAAGCCTTGTCGTTTCGAAATTTAATTTTCATGCGATAAATCAATCTGCTTAAGATCGCAGCTTCTTTGTGGAACAATTCTTGGGAAGTCAAATCTTTCAGAGCTTGATCTATACTCGCGTTAAATTTAGTTATATCTAATAACAAAAACAAGGATTAATAAAACGAATTGTGTAAAAGATTCCTCTCCCCTTCTTCTACTTTACGAGCAAAAATTGACTTACCAAATTTCTGACGTGCGACACGACAAGTCGCATTCGGTGGTCGCTCCAATTGCACGCGATTCCAAATCGCTTCCATATTAAAGTATTTAACTTAATGCAACTATTTATTCTTACTCTATCGTCACTAAAACATAACCTCACTTTTTACACGTGCTTCGAAATATATTTATTGGCAGACGAGACATCGGTAAACTTTTCACTTATGTTCATCAATTACGTATAATGTACACACACACGGGATCGAAACGCGTATGGATGAGCGGACAGGTAGTACGAACGAAACAGATCAGATTTTAGATGTTCAAGCACAGGGACGGCAGTACACGGTCATTCCTTTGAAATCCGTGGGTCTCACCGGGCCGGGTCGAGCAAGTACAGGATCGTTCGGAGGAAAATCCAGGGGAACTATTTTATACACCCCGCGATACGCGATGCCTCCTTGGATCAAAGGTCGATACATCAAATTCGTGCAGTAACCGAGATTCAACGGCGAGTTTGACGGCTGTCTGAATCTTCAATGGAATTCTTTTAATTAATCAAACTTGAACCGTTGAATTCGCGATTAAACAGTTACCTGACACCCTTTATGGGCTCGATTTTACGACCGTAAGGATGATTTGTCCTACACCGTGGATCGACATTCAACATCGGCCAGTTGCACGTCGTCACCGTGCAACCCTCTCTGTCGAAATGAGCTAGTGGACAATAATCGCATACTCTTTTATCCAGTTTTGTTTCCATTTTGCACTTGCTAATTTTACGATTATAATTAATTTTCAACTACTGAAAGCCGATTCTAGGATCCGAGTGGTTGTCGCCATTTTAAATAAACAAACGCTACACTACGATGACAATTGTTCCACATATATTTCACGGACCGTATATACAAGAATTTCTAATCACGTAATTACTTAACGGTACGAGACTACAATTTTTTTTCAGGGCTGATGACACACGAAAGACGAACGACTGTCGGGGGACTGTAGAACGCGTTAACAGCAACCCGCGTAAGGCACGCATGGATATCTAACGGTTCCGGTGTAAAATAATCCACCGGTGGTAATCGGTGCTCTGTAAACTGGCCCGAGTTCGAAGGGCGCCGGGACCGGCTTAGGTAAAGGCGCACAGGTGATGCAGGGATGACCTGTGCAGGGCGGGCAAACGTATGGTCGTGGTGCGCAGGGTAAGAGGCAAGGCTGCGGAGGACATGGCATGCAGGTGAGAGGTATCGGGGGCATGCATGGAGAACAGCTAGGAGGTGGACACGGAGGCGGACAGCAATTCACTGGTGGACATGCCGGGGGACAGCAACTTGGCGGCGGACACGGAGGGCAGCAAGCCGGTGGCGGACACGGAGGGCAGCAGACCGGTGGTGGAGGAGGAATGCACAGCGTTGGATAGCAAGGTATACAAGGAGGCGGTGGACAGGGTGGCGGAAACATCGGGCAGGGACAAGGTTTGCAGGGCTGAGGTTGACACGTGTAAGCGCAGACGGGCTGAGGGCACGGATCGCAAATTGGCGGACAGTACGGTTCTTCTGGTGGGCAGCAACCGCACCTGAGAAGAACCAAGTTAACCCTTCATTTCGTTCACGAAGTAGGTAAAGAGATCATCGTACCACACTATCATTCGTCTCAAATCCTCCTTTTTATACGGTCGATCGCATCTTACTACCACCGACATTTGTCTCGATTACGATGGAATTGTTAACTAGAGAATTTTGAGAGAATTTCGGGATAAGAGATTCGAAATAAGGGCCTGAAGTTTGATCTTGAAATAATAGAAGAACATGAACGATTAATAAACGGCAAATTCAATTTATTGCATAAAGGTAATCATTTTGTTTTTCACTAAAGTACTTTGTTCATGTAATCGTTGTACAAATTTATTAACGACGCTGGAGTACGGGGTGTGATAATAGCCAGCGCGGCTTTAAAATGCTCCTTGGTAATCGCAGTAGCGTTTAAATCTTCCTCAAGCGCTTTCATGGCGGCCTCATGGCAAATCGCTTGAATTTCTGCTCCGGAATACCCTTCTGTGAGATCGACCAGATCTTGGATCTGCACATCTTCGACGATCGGCATGTTCCTTAACTTGATTTGGAAGATCTCTTGTCTGGTCTCGTAGTCGGGTAACGGCACGTATATTATCCTGTCCAAACGACCTGGCCGAAGAAGCGCCTGCGAGGAATCGATAAATTTAATTGATAAAACAACGATTTTAATAAAATCATTATTTATTACGAAGAGACTGACTTTATCAATTTTGTCGGGTCGGTTAGTCGCGGCCACTAATGTGACGCTGCCCAGCGCAGTGATCCCATCGAGTTCTGTCAATAATTGGGCGAGAACTCGTTCTTGCACGTTGCTTCCGCCGTTCGATGAAGAGCTTCGTTCGCCTCCCAGAGCATCTATCTCATCGATGAATACGATGGAAGGCGAGACCTGCCTCGCCTTTCGGAATACCTCCCTCACAGCCTTCTCTGACTCGCCGACCCATTTCGAAAACAATTCTGGTCCCTGAAAATCATGTTAGCTTCCTTTTAAAATGAACAATACTTAGACCGAAGTCTTACCTCGCGTCGCGTCTTACCTTTACGTTTAAAAAGTTCACTCTACTCTCTGTCGCAAGAGCTTTGGCAATCATCGTTTTCGAACAGCCGGGCGGCCCGAACATCAGAACTCCTCTCGGCGGATTTATGCCCATTCTTGAGAATGCCTCAGGATGGCGCAATGGCCACTCGACCGCCTGTTTCAATTTCAATTTCAAGTCTTTCTGCCCTCCGATATCGAACCACCGAACGTTCGGAAGTTCTATCAAGACTTCTTTCATTGCGGATGGTTTCGACACGGTTAAAGCGCGCTCAAAGTCGAAGTACGTTACTATGGACGAACAGCCAGTGCTTATACTCGATGTTTGATTACGTTTTAACGCGTTTAAAATCGCCTGGGAACACAAGCCGTATAAGTCAGCGCCGACGAATCCGTGAGTGACGAACGCGATACTCGTTACATTCTCCTCGGACAAAGAGTTCGGCATTTTTGCTAATAATTTTTTAAGTATTTCCGCACGCATATTGGGCGAGGGTACAAAGATCTCGAATTCCTTGTCTATTCTCCCAGGTCTTCGAAGAGATCCGTCTACGAGGTCCAGTTTCGACGTCGTAGCCAGTATCGCGATCTTAATGTTCGTATTTTGTATCTCGTCGAAGAGCGCGATCAGTTGAGAAAGAACTCTCCTCTCGTGATCCGTACTGGAATTACTTCTCTTCGGACACAAGCTGTCGATCTCCTCAATCAGTACGATACTCGGAGCTTTCGCTTTAGCTTCCGCGAAGATATCTTGCAATTTCTTTTCTGTCTCGCCCAGGGTTTTACTGTAAACGTCCGAACTGTAAATGGTGACGAAGTGTACGCCGCACTCCGTTATCAAGGCATTAGCGATGATAGATTTTCCGACACCGGCAGGACCGTACAACAATATTCCTTTATTAATAAAGAAATTATTCAGGTTTTCTAACGTCGGATATAAACCAAGAGCAATCTTAATAACGTCTTTAATGTCCTGTATTACTTTATCATATCCCCCAACATCCTCGAGTTTATATTTAACTTTCTTCTGTTCTTCTTCTTCTTCTTCTTCGTCATCCAAAATAGTCCACTTTGTATTATAAAGCGCTATGTAAAATGTATTATGTGATTGACTCGTTATGTTCATTTGTTCAAACTGGCCAGGCAAGTCGACAGTTTTAGATTCATCCGGTAGAACTTTGCTGATCTTATAGATCAATCTCTTTCCATAGAAAGGCACGCTGAATTTATTATTTACAGTGAATATTTTATTCTCATTGTGATTTTTAAGTATTACATCGAGCTCTGAGCTCGGCCGGATCCGTTTTCCAACACTTGAGATTATAAACTCTTTCGCAATGTTGACAGAGGAATGAAATTTCTCAACTTTGACTCTACCGTGAACGTTATTAAGTTCTATGGCTGCAACCATAAAAAACATGTTGGTGAAAAAATGTTCACGCAAATTATTATTCGGCAGGATTCGCTGTAAAATTTACCATGTTTCGTTAAACCGACGCTCGTCAAGCGTTTGTCTTTCGTTGGCCACGCAGTTTTAACCACTGTGCCATTCCTAGTAATTACAAGAACACGATCTGCTATCGCAATTTCGCATAATTGTAACGTAGACTGTGACACGAATACCATGTCGTCCAGTGTTCTTTCAGGAACATTTTTTGGCTGTTCTATGCAAAAAGTATTTTTCTATACTAAAGGAAAGTATAAGCGTCGATTCACTTAAGAGTAATATGTATATATACCTAATGATGTACACGCTTCTACGACACCGTACAACGTGCTCTTATAAATGAAATCATGATTCCAGTGTTCAAAATCCGGTGGGCAATTAGCCTCGTGCACCGTTAACTCTGTCTGTGTTAGAAGACACTGACATTTTTCACATGTTACCCAAAGGGAGAGACTTTTCCTCCCGCTTTCTTTTGTTTTCGAAGACATTCTGAAATAACATGATTAAATGACTGTGTTCCCACGTTTGCGATTTTAACAATGATTTGTATTTACTTAGAGTTTAAGAAACTAATAGATATTTTATAGAGAAACATAACCTAGGAGCTACAAAACTTTTATGTATTAACTGTGTGAGAACAATAATACATACGTTTTTGTAATACATAAACGACGGCATAAACGACGATTTTTATTCTGTGATTGTACTAATAGAAATTAATACGACGTATATAAATTTACGTAGATGTTTAGTTATTCGAATGGTACAAACAGTAAGTACATCCCGTGCGCGGCTGATAGCGCAAGACTGTCTATAGTCTATAATTTTCATTCAAATCGCTTATTTTTCATCGATTACTCCTAAAATATTTGAGATTTCGACCTTTTCTGCAGGTAATAGCAGTATCTATAACTTTTACTTGAAGCATTAGCTTCATACAAGAATCTGAAGGGCAATTTTGGCAAAATCACGAAAAAAATGAAAATTTTTTTTTTCTCAAAATTTCGAGAAATGTTTGAAGTAAAAGTTGTAGATTTTGCTATTACCTGCACGAAAGGTCATATACAATTTTCTTTTACCTTGAATACTTCAGGAGTAAAAATTGTGAGTCTTCTTGCCTCGATAGAAGCAAGGAGCAGGTACGGTTTCGTAAAAATGTTATATTTGGTTCTATTGCGTCCCGATTTTGACGAAACTTGAATGACATGTTGAGGAAAGATCTGTTTATGGGTCTATCAAGTTTCATTAAGATATCTATCCTACTTTTGTAGAAATTCGTCCAATAAGTTGTAGTAGTTAAACGCTTCTTTTATTTCTATCGATGGGTTCAAACTTTCCTGACGCCGCTTCATAACGTGTATATGTATATATTCAATGTAATTTTACGATTACTTCGTCGTCTCTCCCTGGTCTCTTCCGTCTTTGGCTGGTCTCTCCCTGCTCTTTCCCGTCTCTGGCTGGTTTCTCCTGTCTCTGGCTGTGTTTTCACTCTCCACATTATTGTCTTACACGATTTTAACATTCTTTTTCGTTTGTTCCAGACATCTATTAGTCAGGACATCCAAAAATAATAAAGACAGCAATTCCTGTGGTATCAGTGTCAATAATAAAATTAACTATAAACGTATTACTTAAGCATTCCTCCTTGTAAATTATTGTAAATCTCTTAAATTTTAATTAATAAAGAAATAGTTTAAATGGATTTCAAACGTCTCATTATTTACCTTTAATTCTATCCACATCTAATCTCTCCTACATGCCATCTTCACTTAGTATAAGCAGAAATAAGATGGAAATTTGAAATATTCTTGGAATTGGAATGCCAAGGCAAGAGTCAGTGCCACCTCCTATCACCTCATGTTCTCCTGATACAAATTCGAGAAAAATTTAACCAAATTGGACTTTGTATTAGGAGAACATGACAGTATAGGAGGTAACACTAACATGTATTGATGACGTCATTTTCAAGCGATCGGAATTCCTGAAATCTTACAGCACTGTGTCAGACCGCGCGATGCGTTCGCGGACAGGCAAGAGGCAAAAGACCCGACGGACGGACGGGCCAGCCGTCACGAACCGGGCCGACGTTCCCGTACCAAACGAGATTAATAGAGATCCGCCTGTCAGCCGGACGCCTCTCCGTCTGAGCGAGATCCAGCGGCTTCCAGACGGCCAGTCTTCTCGCAGATCGCAACCTGCGTGGGCAACAACCGATCGTGATCGATCGCGTTCTCCACTCTGGACTAACGCTGTTGCATGTCGTGCGAGTCCAAGAGCATCGCGCGTCTACCACGAACAATCTTCTAGTCATCCGGGCATACGTAGAGTAACGAGATATCGATCGAACGCCTGTGACCGCGCGACGTAACACCGTTACTGTTCAGAGGAAAGTTTCGATAAAGTGTAAACTCACCCCGTGCGCGCGCGACGGGCTTCAGGTTCTGCGGGAAACCAGGTTCGATCTTATCCGCGTTCATCCACGTTCGCCCTGATGCGAATAGAAATGACGAGGAGTCGGTGGGCCGTATTCGGTGGCTTCACCTTGGTTTGCCTCGCCAATTTGCGATTAGGTAGGCACCGCGCCGCTCTTCATCGTCGGTCAATTTTCTCGTCACCGACCGATGCGAATCGCGATAGAATCCAAAGAGTACGACGATACTTTTTGCGTTCATCGGGGATCGTGGTCGTGCGATGAGAGACAGAATCTGACGGTACCGTTGGGGCGGTTCCCGTGTTTCAGCCATCGGCGAGAAGGACAACGGCGACGAAGGGCACAACGAAGAAGTCAGGCAACACGTATGCTGCGCCAGACACGAGAAGATGATCGACGTGGGATACGGTGAGCGAAACCAGAAAGAATCGTTACGATAGAAAAAACCGAGGAAACGACGAAACGGGCAGAAGTTGCGCAATTCGAATCGTCGGATCCCTCGTTTCGCCGTCCCATATTCACGCGGTGTGTGGCCTTGTCGCTAGATCCGATCTAGCAGATTGATATCGGACGTTGAATCAATTGACGCCGGTCAAGAGGATGCAGCGTCCGGTAACGGCGTTGTCGTGTGGCCGCGATCAAAAGATTTGACCGATTTATCATTGGCCGGGCTGGAAAATAGCGCGGGTAAGACCGATTCGATTTACGGCTAGCCCCTCGCCGCGAGGAGATCAATTGCCGGTCACGGATCAAAGACTGAGCCCGCGATTCGTGGAACGTTAATCCCTTGTCGCGAATCAACGTTTCGCCGAAGCGACCGCGACGGTTCCGACCGACCGTTCCAGTTGATCGATCATCGATTAAACGATCTCGTTGATCAACGACACCCGAATTCTTACGTCTACGAGAGACGGTCGGTTTTGCGATAGCAGCTTCGATAACGGCCAGGGAATAGCCAAGGCCCAGGGCAACGTGAATCACCGAGGAACCCTCGCATACCGTGTCCCACGCGTTCGCGCCAAAAATAGCACGGTTACATTGTAAACGGTTCTACCCCCTTCTTATATCTTGTCAGCTCGTTTAACGTGATACAACCTGTAAATTTTGCACGAGCATTGCCGAGCGGCGCCACGTCGGATTTACACGGGTCTGATTTCTCGCGGACCGAGCGGCACGCAACGAACCTTCGCCGAGAGCCACATATCACTTCATATCCGATTGTCCTTTTTATTGCCAGGAATATCTGGGGAAATTATCCAAATCGACGCCGGCCACTGTCGTAAAGTCTGTCCTCGACACGCGTTGGACGATCCAGGAGATGCTAGTCGCCCCTTGGTACAGGTAAATCCTTCCACTTCTCTGGAACTCGTGCGCTCCTCGATGGTAACGAGTAAAAAGATATTAAATTCGACGGATCGGGCCTGGGAGACAAAAAACGCATCGCTATGGCAGGGTTCATCGAAGCGAGACCGTCGAATTCCTCGACCCGGAATCTCACGAGATTCATCGTGGCGGTCGCGGTTGTCTCGCGATTAAAAAAAATCACGGAGAGAGACGGTCTCGAGCCCGAGGGGACGGATCGAAGGCCTCGGAGGCAAGAAGAATTTCGTCGGCCGCTCAAAGAAATGGAAGCGGCGAGGAGATCGAATTCGCGAGCAAAAAAGAATTACTGTAAAACGCGCTGCCACGGCAGGTACGTGTGCCGAGGGCTACGCGAAGGGCGAAAAAAGGTAGGAACGTCATGTAGATTTATGACGCGCGGGATCGACCAATCCGCGAACTGGAATGCGGCCACGCCAGCATCGCGCGATCGTACGATCTCCGCGACTTTTACGGCGAGTGCACCCCGGCACCGTATCAAGAACGCTTCGCGTCTTCGTTCGTTTCGTACTTACCTACAAAATCCATCGAATCAACCAACGGTTTCTCCGTGGCTGGCTACTGAAAATCGATTTCACTCGTTGTTCTTCATCCGAACAATTGATGTAACGATTCGAAAGCGACCCTCGCCGTACCTCTTCCTCGGGGAGAAAGCTATTTTGGTCGCATGATGCAACCCGATTGGTGGTTTACGATCTTGCAGCACCCACGCCGCAGGAGAGAAAACAGGCTCGAGAGGAAGAAATGTTCCGCGCGGACATGCAGAAAGGAGAGGACGCGTGTTTTGCGTCCTTGGAAGGTCGTATCGCGCCGGGTCACCGCTCCGGCGCCAGCTTGGCCAGCTACTAAATCCCGAATCGTGTTCCTGGGATCTTCAGGATGGATGTACCTGAAATCGGAATTTATTAGAAAATATTCTTAGCCAGAAATACCAGCGGGGGGAGAGAACGGACGGGGGGATGGGGCCGAAGGCGTGGGCACGACGGAGACAGCCGGCCACGGTCATCCCGCAGCGAGAATAATTAAATGGCCCGGAGCGAAAGAGATCGGGTACGCCCGAACGGGTGGATAACGAGGCGCGCGAATATTATAAATTTCTCCCCGGGCATACCTTCCTACGAACGTACGACCCAACAAACTACGAATTCTGTGAAGTCGCGTGCTCGCTTCTCTCCACTAACATCTGTATCGGTGAAATTTACACGGTACCCCGCGAGAGAACGCATTCCAGGAGCGCGTTCTCCTTTTCGCGTCACGCGGAAGCAAGAAAAATAATAACAATAATAATTTTATTAAAACGAGAAGAATCCTTAGATAGTATATAATGCAGTTCTGTGCAACAGAATAACAATAAAAATAAATTTCAAAATAATAATAATAATAATAAAAACGAGAAAAAGAGAGAGTAAAATATAACAAGTATGACAACAGATAACATAAGATAAAAGATAATAAGAGATAAATACTGAGACATAACATGCGATGGAAGAAACAAAGGAATATATAAGTCGTTCGTTCGCCTTTTATAGAAATGCAATCTGGAATCGCATTGTCGACCGAGCGCGGCGAAATTAGAAGGGGTGTCGACGATCCAAGGGGTTCGCGGAATCGAAGTGACCGAGGCCTGCGAGTGCACGCCGGATTCGTCCTGCAAGCGAGAAACCTTCACGCATTTGGTGCATTCCGGTACCCCTCATCAGGCCGTGATGGACGTCGGAGTGTGCATGGGTCGTTGCGGCAAAGGTAAAATAATTTCACTCTTTACTTCGCGTCGTCGCTTGTCGAACGAATTCTCATATCGACCACGGTTCGTTCCAAAGATCTTGGCTGCAAGCCGGTGAGGAACAGCACGATCAGCATCGCTGGACCGAACGGTACGTGACACACAATCATATTCGTTCATAGACGTGACGATTAATTTGCTGATAAACGCGAGTACTTCTCATGAAATCTTAGGGGACGAGGTGTACCAGGTGATCAAGAAGTGTGGCTGCGCGGAGACTTGCCATAAGATGGACCACATGGAGACCGTTCTAGATTACAGCGAAGTCGAAATCAAAGACGGTACCAATACTACGGACGTCAGGCCGGTCGTTTTGGTAAAAAGAATTTCACGCAACAACTATTTCTCGTGTGGCGGATAATTTATCGACGGCTTTGTTTCTGCGCGGGTAGCACATAAACGTCGGGAAATGTGTCGGCACGTGTCCAGGAAACGAGAAGGAGATGTGTCTTCTGAGAGACAAAAAAGAGCCGTCGAGATGCCTGGCTGGCCTATACTCGAAACAACGCAGTTGCACGCCGGCTAAGTTCAAAGTTCACGAGTACAGGTAACCGATACGTTAATTAAACATCATCTACACGTTTCGTAAAACGTTTCTCGATGGTATCGTTTCAGGACCCGTCGCGGTTTGAAAAGGGAAATTATTCAGATCACCCAGTGTGCTTGTGTCTAAACGGGACGGAGATATCGAGAGATCCGACGAAACGAGCCGAAGAGGCATTCCAGATATTTTGTGCGTAAATACAAGATTTCGATGTTCCTACATGTATTGGTATGGCAAATAAACGATGATAACTTTTTAGAGACCATCGATATTTATTGATCTCGATACCCCCTTTGCTTCAATTAAATTCGATTAGATCCGAGACCGGCGGCTAATCGGTCAAACTGGCCCCTAATTTTCACGGTAATCGTGCCAATATCTCGAGAAACGGAACTACGTATCTTCGAGTCGGTTCCACTTCGTTTCGCGGGATATATTAATAAAAGCTGGGCAACGTGCGATGAGACGCAGTAAGACAAATTCCTTTCGGGAAATTTATTGGAGTCGAAAAGACACGCCAATTGGCGCTAGAACGGGCGTAGTACTCGCGGCTGTTCCCTGGCTCGTTCCCGTTTCATGTGAGAATAATGCAACAAAAAGAACGAGGCCGGTGCCTCGATCGGTGGCGAAAATACACGCTGACACCCTCGCGAGATCCGTCATCGTTCCTCGTAGGAAAATAACCGATTATTCGCGACATCTAAATATCGCCGCGGGGGCACATGACTCGCCACTCACGGAATCTACGGAATTTAGGAAGCGCGAGCTTTTTTTAATAGCATAAGTGTCATCATCGTCGACCATCGCGCGGTTCGAGAAACTTTACCGGTCCCATACTCCCGTTCCTCGGCGATCGCCACGTCTTCGAGAAAAACGAGACGCGCGTTCCAGGACAAAATACACGTAGAAAAATATCTGCTCTCTGAAAATCAACAGACGCCCGTCCCGCGTGAAAGGAGCAAAACGAGCTGGACGAATACCCCGATTGCGGGTGATTCGAGCTTAATAAGAAGCGTTTCGCGGAGGCGAGAAATCGTATCGCCGGGACGCGTTGAATCGCGGCGAGTCCCGTGAGAGAAGCCGATGTCGCTGCGGGGAGCAACGCGGGGGAGGCAACTCCCGGCATAGCATAAAGGTGACTCCTCGCAGCCGACATCTCCCATATGCTACTTAGCGTTCCGTTCGGTTTGGCAAACCTCGAGAAGGTGTCCGGCTCCTTCGTACGACATATTCGTCGCGTAGACTCGGTCGATGTTCGTTCGCCGTCGATCCTCCCAGATCCGTCACCGGGTTCTCTGAGTACCGATCCGATTTTCTCTGATCCGCCGAGTGAACGAAGAACACCACGATGGACGTTCGGTTTCTTCTCCTGGCGTCGTTCCTGTCGTGTTCCGTCGACGTGCGCGCACACCCTCGCTTCCCCGAGGACGACGACGCGAACCAGGAGGATCTCCTGGAGGGATCTTGGTTCTTGGACGATCTGAACGAAGGCAGCGACCACGATCCGAAAATCGAGGCGTTGGAGAAACTTCAACAGGTTCGTCTGTAAAGGATTTCGCGAGAATCGCTCCGGAACGAGTCGGTCAATCGGTCGACGAAATCGTTGCAGGTACTCGGCATTCGGAGCCACGGTGAGAAAACAGGACGTCGCAAGGTACCGCCGCAATTTATGATCGAGCTGTACAACAACGTGGCTGATCCCAGCGGTGTCACGCGGGGTAAAAATCCGTACAACGCCAAGGTCGTCCGCAGCTTCATCGAAAGAGGTAAACGCGATCGTCTTTATTATAACGAATTTTCTATTTAACTCGAATCATGCAACGGGTCTCAACGATTGCGTAGACACTTCCATGTCACGATTTTACTTCTTCAATATCACGGGGCTGGAAGTGAACGAATCGGTACTGGAAGCAGAGCTTCATCTCTATCGGAAGAGGACGCCTTTGAAAGCTATGCACCCGTCTACTTTGGCTTCGCCTTATTACTTGGTGAGTTCTTCATTCTCCCGATTTTTATTCGAGGACTTGCGTTCAAGTTTTGCACGTATCTCTGTTCAGATAAGAGTGTATCAAGTGTTGGACGAGAAAAGTTTGGACGTTCCCGATCTTCACAGGCTGTTGAACGTCAGATACGTCGGGGCACACGCGTCCGGTTGGCAGGTATACAGGACTGGCAGTACAGACGACGCGTAACAGAGATCATAGTTTATGTAAAATGATTTTCGTTTCAGGTCTTCAACGTGAAACAGGCTGTCCTCGGTTGGTTGAACGGCGACGTGAACCTCGGACTCCTAGTGACCGTCTCCACTCTGTTCGAGGATCAAGTGAGCGTGGAGTTCTCCAGGCGGAGCGAGTATCATCATAGTAAACAGCCGATCTTGGTGCTCTTCGACGATGACGGGAAGATGCATCAGGATGATAAGAACGCGGTCCCGAGGTATTACACTTACGGTAACGACAACGAGATAGAAGGAGAAGGGACCTACGACGCGGAGTACAAAAGCGGTGAGAAGACCGACGAAGGAAAAGGTCAACCGGAGGAAGCTCGATGGGAGAACGGGGACTCGTCCGAGTTCTTTCAAAGACAGAAGCGAAAGGAGTCCGACATCGCGACGGAAGAGACTGCAGGTCGACGTCGGCGGGAGACCGCTTCTACTTTCAGAAAACTGAGGGACAGTGAGATCGCATTGACGTCGATGGACATATACAAACGAGCGGCGCGTCGCGAGCGAACGGGCGGATGGGTTCGTCGGAGGTCGATGTTACGCGAGAAACGGTCGACCAAGAGTCACGCATCCGTTCAGCAGAACGTAACCGAGTGCTCGAGGCACGAGCTCTACGTAGACTTTAAGGAGATCGGCCTGTCCTCCTCGATCATCGCTCCCGTCGGCTACTCCGCCTATCATTGCAAAGGTATGTGCGAGTCGCCGTTGAGCCAGGATCAACAGCCGACGAATCACGCGACCATCCAAGGAATCGTTCACAAAATGGGACTGGTGAAAGGGGTCGAGAGACCTTGCTGCGTGCCCACCAAACTCCTCGGCACGACCATACTGTTCTTCGACGACAACGAGAACGTTGTTCTGAAGGTGTACCAGGACATGATCGCGGATCGCTGTGGATGTCGTTAAACGTCTGTACGTTTCAGGACCTGGAAATTATTCGTTCTACATAAAGAAGTAGAAGTAGAACGAGCGAGGGACGGACCACGGATTTGACGCGTTCATACAAACCTCGAACGCGTCTCCGAAGTATGAGGAGAGGAGAAATAATGGCAACGATTAGAAAACGCATTAGAGAATCATTCCTAAATGCGCCCGATCGATCGACGTCCCAACATTGTATATAAGAACATTCCTAAATTCGCGCAGCGATGCGTATCAATGATTAGCACGCGCCTGTATCGTGTCCTGTATCGTCATTTAAATTATTATTATAATCACACGTAGGAATCTAGTAACCATTGTATATACTACTGTAGAAGTTACGATTATTTATATTTTAATTACGATGAATAAAACGAGTATTTAAGTAGGAGACTGATTTTCCATCTGCCCTCCTTCCCGGCCATGAATTTGTCGTATAAAGAATTGACGGCGGATGCTCGGAGTTATTTGATCAGATTGGCTCGAGAAACGCGGACTCGGCGAGGTGATTCTTTTTCTAGTTTCTCAGAGGCGTAAATTTCGCGAGCGGGACTATAAAATGTACGGTGACTGTAACACACTGTTGGGTTGATGAGTTTGGCGCCGGTGGACGCAGGGAGCCAGTCGCGGAATGTCAACGCTACCGGTGTTAAAAGCTGCCTGTTTCACGCCTTTTCGCAGCGGAGCGCGAATCGGCCCATCGAGAAATCTCACAATTAATGGTAGCAGCCTCCGAATTTCTCTCGTGACACTTTTACGGCTCCGACCCGCTCCCCTCCTCGTCCATAACGACCCGATGACGTTCGCGATTCTCGTTTTATTCCATCGTCGGAATCGAGGAACGTAAACAGATTAGTTTAACGACCCCGTTGGAATCTACGCGGTGGTGAGTCGACTCAGGAGTGGACGCACCGCTGCGAATCCATGAAATTGCGAGAAACGAAGCGTGATTACGGATAATCATCAGGGCATTCATCCTCGTTGCCTCGTTAGTTCTTTCAAATCATAACGCTTCGACGTGACGAAGCTATCCACGCGCGCGCTACGTCTTACATTTTCTGGTGGTCAGCGAGGATGTGACTCCGGAGGAGAAACGAATTTGAACGAAAACACAGAAATGGTAAATAAGAGCATCGTTTCGATACGGGTACTCGCATATTTGCGACCGAGCGGACGATCGTTCGCGTGCCATCGCACTGCATTCCACTTATATTTAATCCACGGTGGGTATATTTTCGAATCCGCCCACCTAAAAATAGCCGGAACGCGTTTCGTTGCATTCCTACGTTGTATTTAGATATAGTAACACATGCCCAAGGGAAACACCTTCGCGCCTTTTACATAATTAATGAACCTGTCTTATGAAAAACGCGGAGCGTTTCTAGTAAAATGAGAAGAGAGACCGAGAGAGCGGGAGGTAAGACGGAACTGGGCAGAGGCGAAGAGAGAAAACCGATAGAGCGGGAGCTAAATAAGAAACCCTGACGATAAGCCACGAAGCGTATACGACGGCCTGTACAATGACGTCGCGTTCTGTCATCCGGCGCGCTACCTCTCCGGGCCTCTGAGGCCTCTCCACTACCACCGGCTCAGCCATTATAGTGGAACAGAACTTGATCGGTTCACAACTATACATACACATAGTGGCAGGCCTTTGAACGGTGCGCGCCTCGTGTCTTCTGCACGCCGTACCGCGTTTCTTCCTCCCTTTCTCGTTCCTTTCGCCGTTTTTCTGCCGGCTCCGCGCGATTATCTCCCTCCCTCCGGTCTATAGTCTTCACCTGCGCGACGATAAACCCTGCCGGTCGCTTCCGATCGCTCCGTAAACAAAGGGGACGACGACACCGCGACTTTGCGCCGTCGTCCGATCATCGGCGATCCTCGTTAGTAAACAAAAGGGATGAAAGGTCGAACCCGTTAGCCAATCACGGGAACGTCGTTAGCTACGTCATCGACCTTAGACGGGACGACGATGATCGTTATGCCGTATATTTGAACGAGGTTTCGCACGTTTCGAACAGTATGAGAAGTCGAACGCAAACATGAGGTTCTCGCTCTGCATTTACTGGATCGCCTTCCTATCGCCGTTAATCGGTTCGATTACGAGCGCGAAGGATCTTCAAGTAAGTAGCCGTAAAGTAATTATTAGATATTTTGCATATCCGAACCGCAGGGATTGCGGAATTCCATGAAATAGAAGGCGAGTCATCCGTTTGATCGGCTGCTACGCCATTGAATGAGAAACGATCTGTTGATGCAGGGTTCCAAGAAGTAGAAACGCTCTGCTCCATTCCACTGTACTGTTCCGAGCTCCTGTTCCCTACGCGAGCCAAACACGGTCCTCTTCGATGTTCTTTACCCTCCGCCGCAAACGACCGAACGTTTCCTTGAATCTCGACCAATTGCCTGTTTAATAATCATTAATAATCGGGCTCGTCTGTCTGCTCGTATAGGAGGAGCATGAAACTACAGATCTGAAACTGATCGAGGATGAAATATTAGCTCTGATACAGCAGGATTCCAGTTGGATGATCGACGAATCGGCTCGTAGCAAACGGAACGGAGAGATCGAGGTTGAGCGGATTCTCACGAGGCATAAGAAACACCGAAAACGGCGTCGCTGTAAAAATCAATCCACCACGTGTCTTCGGGGCACGTCCACGACACCGCGAGGCGACGAAGCTCCGGTCGATGAAACTTCAGAAAAATTGAAATTAGCTACAGAGAGCGACGATCGCGTACAGGTGACTATCGACGATTATTTAGAAAAGAAACAGAGAATACTCGGAGAAATTAATGAATGCGAAACCTTTTCTCGCGTGTAGGACTCGCACACTGAGACCAAGGAAAAGGATCATAACATTAACCATTCACTGAGGGAGAACGATGGAATTATACCAGAGAGAAACGCATCCATCAATCAAAATTTATCCGATTTGAAACTGACAAATTCGTCCGACGGTCGATCCACTGCCAGCGAATCCGAATTGCCACGCGCGAATCCATCTTTCCAAACGAGCCGAAAAGACCGACCAAAAAAGGGCGAAATTAGTGATAACGACGATTATGTGGACGAGGAGCCTTCGGCTATGTACTCGGCCGTCGACGAACAATACGCGATTCCCGAGAGCATAACTGTACTCTTAAACAAATTATTCCAAGCCCTCGGGAACACAACGAACGACCAGGACACTCTTAACGACTCGACTTCCACGAATGAAACAACCGAAGACCCCTGCCAGAAGTGGATAAATAGCAAGGACAAGTTCAACGACGTGTTCGCAAGTGAGTAATCGATACTTCAAATTTTTATGCGGAATGAAACATTTCGATGGATAATCACTTCTCGTGTCATTAAATTTGTAATGTATTTTATAAATTTATTGCAGGTAGCCTAACGGTATTGCCCGCGTGTCCCTGCTTATACCCGAACAACATTGTTTATGATGACAAAATTTGGGACGAGAAACGGAAGAAAAATTTTCGGTGGCGAGACGTGAGCGGCGAATCTCACAGGCTCGACGTCTACAAATCCGGTGCCACTTATTGCATACGCTCGGCACTGACTCAGGGAACCGGAAGTGCAGCCGCTCAACACTGCTGTTACGATTCGGACAGGAAACTCCTGACCCGTGGTTCCGGTGCCGGCACCCCGCACTTCATAAGCGCGGAGGTATCGACTATATTGCACGAGAAGCTCGACATCTTACCCTGGAGACTTTGCAAGGGTGATTTTTCCAGGTACGTGACGGCGTGTTCTAAATCTCTTACAACGTTGACCAGCAAAACTGTTGATTTCAGATACAACGCAGTGAGACCACCGAACAATGAGAACAATTGCGAAACTAATCCTGAGGACGAAGAGTACCAACGTCAAGTCAATAGTACCAAGTATTATTAACTTCTTGTTTTATCGTGTCGACTCGCGACGGAAGTTCGAACAGTATTTACACGGACTTAATTTAAATATATATATATATAATGTACGATGTAACGTAGGAAATAAACGTGATTCAAACTTACCCCTTTGTCCCTTCTTCTAAGTACGCGAAGCCCTTTGACGTTCGAAAAGACGCGCCCTGGTCGCGGTGAACCTGGAACCGGTTTCTATAGCGTTTCCAGTCACGTTCTTTGCACCGCTTCCAAAGGGAAAGAGGGGAGGAGCACGGCGAACACAGGGACGAGCAAGTCGATTTAACCGCGCGTGCTACCAGTCCGTTCAGTTGTTATGGTTACTGCCCGCAAACACAGGTTCTCCCGGCTGCTAAGCTTCGCGTCGGGACTCGGGGCTAACCATGGACTGGGCCACGGACTTGGAGATCACGTCAAAAAAAGTAAGCGACATCGGTCGACCCTGTCGCTCCTGTTCATTCTCATTTATTGCACTTTGAACAACGTTTTCGTAGCTCTTACCTCGTCTCGGTAGGAGATCGACGCAGAATATCGTGCAGGAGCCGAAGCTGGACGATGATGTTTTGGAGAGTCCTGTATCGACGTCCTCTGGGAAATCGCAACCACCTGTAGCTCCGCCGCGTACCAGGAAAACCGGATGGGGCGACGAGTTAAAAAGCGGGAAGTCAGTGTTTTAATTGCTTTCATTTGTGCATGTCCATTATGAAATTTCTTCGACACTTTCCGTTTTGATTAAACGTCCATTTGAATTTCAGGACGCGCAACACTTCCAATATCATCGAACAGTGAGTACGACGATTGAAATTCGAAATTTCGCCAGCGTAGTCATTCGAGTATTCACTATAGATTGTTCTTTAGGGAACGCTCGCGCGGCACTGAGAAGGACGACGTGATCGATGGTAAAGATCAGTTCGCAATTATTTGAAGTATAAAGTTTCAACGAATTTCATATTTACCTTAGATATCCCTGTTATACCGGATCTGGATGAAATTCAGGAAGACAGTGCTTTGTCCGATATAAATACACCGTCGTAAGTGCAATCGTGAGATCGTAAAAGAAACGTAACGTCCTATTCTATACTTCGCGTTGCAGGGTAAGCGTGAACAGAGTCACGGCGTATAAAGAGCTCGACACGGATTTGGTGAAGAACGCTGCGTTTACATCTCTGAACGGTGTTAATCTATCGCTTTTAGCGGAGAAATTGTACAACGAGAACTTGACGAAAGAACCGGACGAAGTATGGAACTGGAATCTTCTTTTCACTCAAGTCTCATCTGAAGTGAACAGCGAGGCACAAAAGTGCGTTACCTGAATTTGCCGCTTGTATTTGAAAAATAAAGAATCCTCGAGTCGAATACGTTGTTTTTCTTTAAAGCTCTCCGTGATTATTGACATCGAACGTAATTGAACGTGTGATTAATAGGAAAAACTAGAGATTACTAAAAAACATGGCATACTGCCTTATCTGCAGTGCCTGTATATGGAAGCGACAAATTAACCTCGTCTGACCTATTCGATTGCCCCCCAATTTGGAAATCGCGGTAGTTCGAGGAGCGACGTGAAGACTCGACCGTGCAGGCGTGCAAATCCGTGAATTAAAAAACCACGAATTTGCACGCGCAATCGGGAGCCGAACACAAGCTACTTGAAGCGACCACGTGACAACACCCACTGAGCAGATCTGCCATATTTATTACGTTAGCGATCAATGTTCAGCTGTGCCATCACTAGCACACACTTCCAAATTGAACTAGTTCGGAACTCGTATATATAGTAACCGCGCGTATCACGACCACCAACGGGAACGTGTGTTCTGCCACTAAACGAAGTATCACACGTAAATTCAACACAAGAATGAATAAATCTGACCGATATGAGGATCACAAACACTATCATAACCTTTTTTCTACTGATAAGCTTCTTTAATCCAATTAAATAACGATAATGCAATCCGAATACTTTGTAATTCATGGTGGAAGTCATCTGTTGCTGAATCTCTGGTATTAAACCCTCTACATCAGCGCAAGCTCGATATATCGAATAGAGGCGCTGAACGTATCTCACGTTTGAAATTGATAGAAACTGATGATGACTACGCGGTGTACGGTGGAATTAACTTGACTCGCATGTTGTCATACAAATTGACCAGAGGCCAGGCAATATCCTTGTCCACTTCGCGGTGGTCTAATGTGTTACGATGGGTATGGTACACGCATCAGGAAAAAAAGTGGAAGAACCCAGAGTAGTAACCGACCAACCGGAATGCGTACCGTGCGAGACTACGCAAGAGAAAGCGCCTGGAAACCCGGGAAGCTTCGAAGATATCCATAAAAAAGTCAAAGACATCTACCCGCAAAATTTCGAGGGAGCACGATTGACCATCAACAAAATTCTTAGCGATCATTTCAACGTGACGCATTCGATCACTCTGAGCGCCGTCACTCCGTCCGGATACAAGTTCGGCACTCGTTACATCGGTACTAAAATGATCAATTTGATCGAGAGGTACCCCGTGGCGCAAGGTGAGATCATGCCTAACGGAAACTTGACCGCTTCGTTCATACACACGCTCGGGTGTCGATTCCGATACAAATTGTCGGCGCAGATCGCCGACGGCAAATGCAAAGCGTCGAGTTCCAGCATGGAGTATCGATCGGACGATTTCACGCTCGCCGTGACCCTGGCCAACCCGCGACTCACCAGGAAACAAGGAACAGTGGTAATCCACTTTTTACAATCCATCACATCGAGGATTGCATTGGGAGTCGAGATTGCATGCCTCCGTGGGTCAAAAGTTCCAGGCGGCCAACAGACGGTCATGTGCGTGGCGTTCAGACACAGCACTGGCCCCACGACGTTATCTGGAACCATTGGCGAAGCGGGTCTTCACGTTTGCTACCATCGGAGAGCCAGCTCGCAACTGGAGCTCGGTGTCGAGTTAGAAACGAACACGAGAACCCATCAGTCGATCGCGACTATAGTATATCAAGTAAACGTACCTTACGCGGATCTCGTTTTTCGCGGCATCGTTAACTCTGAGACCACGGTCGGCGGCGTGTTCGAGAAGAAGTTGTACCCGATTCCAGAATCGACATTAGTCATCAGTGGCCTTTTAAACCACAAGAAACAGCGATTTCGTGTAGGAGTTGGTCTTAACATTGGACAATGACAACGACCATTTGACGGGAAACTTGATGCATGTAATTGTCATTGTGTTTCTCCGTCCTTTATCATTTACAGGAACGATGAAACATCGTTTTTATGGTAGGGAAATGGAAGTAAAGTGATTTTAATTGTTCCCTTCAAAATCTTACAGAATGAAAGAACATATACCCTCATTAACGACGTACAGATAGCATTGTTAAGTTTTAAACAATTGTTATATTGCTTGCAATAAGTATTACCAAGTATGTAAAAACTTTGAGGCGCAGCGCTCGTATGTTAAGAAACTGAAATTTTTCAATCTAATTCACTGAAACTAAATATGCAAGTATCTAATACCGGCATCATGAAAATCATTTATTTTTTATTGGTTGCACATTATTCTAGTCATCCCCGTTTGCTATCCTCTCGTCCAAATCGTCGTACTCGTGGAACGCGGTTGTCTTCAATTTGTCGAAATTCACTTCGAATTTTTCACTAAGAAGTCCATTCTCATCGGCGTATTCTAAGATATCACAGATCAGCGGCGACTCGACGCCCAAGACGTACTCACATGTTTTAGGTTCGACGAGAAACAGAGAGACGCTTGACGGGCTAGCCGTGTGACTCTCGACGCATTTCAATTTCACCTAAAAGATTCGCATAAATTATCTTGTATATAAAGGCAAATTTATTTGTATATACGCGTATGTATAATGATGTACCTCCGTCTGTCTCGGCTCGCCAGTCTTGTCGCACGTACTTCCGTCGCTATAAAAATGAGAAAGCTGTTTCCGTAACTCTGGTGACTTCGGTTTTTTATGTGGATGCGCGGCAATCCATTCCAAATGTTTCTGCTTATCGAATTTCCCGAGATTCACTATCGTTTTTTTACCATCGCGTTCTATATGATACTGGACCACCGAACGCCCATAACAGAATTCGTACTTCCACCACCCGTTGCCCTATTTGTACAAATTAGATATATGAGGAAACGAAATATGATTAGAATAAGAAACGGAACACTCACCCCGTGTAAACAATTTTTACCGCTTAAGAAGTTTTTCACGGGACTCACTTCCGCTGGACTGATACCTTGATCAGCTAATGAATTTATAGACTCCTCGACGTTACTATGTTTATCAATGACACCCACGGGATGTATTTCGACTCTAACGCGCGTCTCGCCATCCTGAAATAAACGTGTGAATGAATGAAATTCTAAATAAAATTCACTTATGGGCAACACCCCGTTGTTAATAAGTTCGTTAGACACATGAACGCGCTAGCGCATAATTCCTCCGTTTAGTTTACGATGCTAAAAGACAGTAATTTTATTTACCGTTAAATTGTCACCCTGTAATCTTTTAATATTACAATACCTTATCCCGAAAATATAGGTTTCATTTAGTGTTTAAACTATCGCTTAGCTGTTTTCAGTCAAAAGCGATGCGTGAAGCGAAAACAAACAAGTCTGGCAGTGAAGATATGAAGCGAAGGGTATCGTGATGCCAAAGATATAACAGTGCATAAACAGTATCAGTGAAGTTATAGCAACATTCTCTTTCTTCGTTTTTAAATAACGCGTAGATCTTGAGGAAATAATTATATGTAGAAAAGGAAGGGACAGAATGAGATACAAATTAATGGCGACAAATGACAAGAATAACCAAGCACTTTGGCCTGATCCCAAAAATTATGAAATGTTCTGACCTGGCCCTCCTTATCTACATGGAAGATCGCATAGACCTCCTGCAGCTTGTCATCCTGTGCAACAAATAATGAATTCAGTATACAGATCTAAAAGAACGAATTGGGAAACAAAACAGAGCTGCTTCAGTTACTCAGAAAAAAATTCTACATTAATCGGGGCAACCTCCTAATCGACAAAGTGCATTGAGCATGATTAGGATCTGTACTCGTCTGAAAAACTCTTGCATGTGCTTTGTATAGATTGTAACGATTATCACTACCATGTACAGAAAATAAATAAGTATAAACGTATTTTATTTGAAACAATAGTGTAATATACGTATGGCACAAGCACGGTCAGAATTAAATAACTGAGTACAAAGAGCAAACAGAGGATGGTTTTACCTTCGCTTTCAGAAATCGAACTTGCAAACTTTCCATTTCCATTGCGATAAGAGATCTAGGCTTGGTCGGAGCCTTTTCAATCGGATGACAATTGATTTCGTTCTTCCCCGTGGCTTGAGGCTTGTAGTCTGGGTGAACACATAACCAAGGCGACAGAACAATCACTTCGTATTCGCAGCTGATAGGTTCCTCTACCGAAAATAACTCGTGCTTCCCATGCTTATAGCAAACATATATAACCTTTATCTTCCTCGGCTTGTTAGTCACATCACAAACAGTTCCATCGCCCATTTCAACTTCAACATATGGCATGTTGATTCCATCAACTTTCTTAACTGGTATCTCTGTTTTTCTATTGCGATTTGCTTCCTTCTCTGTATACTCTGCTAAAAGCTTCATTTCCTGCAGTCTATCAAAAGTGCCCAAGTAATACTCGTGTGTTTTCACTTTTTTTCCATCCCTGTCTTCATGATACTGACGTGCATATCTTCCATGACATAATTCATATGACCAATAGGGTTCAACCTGTGTACATAAATATTACTTTCACAATTTTGTTACTCTGTGCAAGCTTTTCAATGCATTTCACACTTACCCTGTACGAACAAGTATTCTGCCTAAACAGTGTTTGTAAAATCTCTATGGGATTTGGTGCATTATTTGGTACATCATAATCTTGTTTTTGTTCCGAATTGTCAATAATTAAACATTGATATTTTTCCTTATTTGCAGTTGTTATAATATACGGCTCTACGTTTGGTCTGGATTTCTGTGACAAGCGAACGAACGTAACAATATGTTTCAGTGAAATTTACATTGCCAAACGTTGATACTTACTAATAAGTCTGAACTGGCCTTGCCTGGCCAGTTAATTTTAAAGAGAACAGTATCATCGAAGCTCCTAACATCGTGCCCATGCACGGCAGCAATTACAATACAGAACACATTGAAAATACCAGAGTGTCCCCACATTTTTATGAAATGCAAATTACTTCCACCAAATCTTTAGTCAGACTATGTGTTATGCACAATGTTTACGGATTCGTGACGACGACAGTACATCTATAATTCACGTTTCGCATCACTCTCGTAATTGTTAAAAAATATCAATGAAACAACCGTGTGTTTTGTCGCTTTCGTTCAAAATTAAATTATTAAATTCTGTTTTTCATTTTGAACAAGCGTTTCTTGAGTTTCTTCCCTCCTTTAGAAATGACAAGCAAACAAGATTGACATCAAGTACACTTTGCAAGATTTTCAGTTCTTTAACCCAGCCCACATATCAACACGATTAGCAGAGCACCAGTAGATTACCAGTAGATCACTACGATCACTACCAGTAATTTCATACCACGTGAACGGCATACGTGGTAACGTGCCGTTTTTCCACGCGCAATACTATTAATTCTCTTTCATAGTGAAGATTGAGAAAGATATAAAAAGAAAAATGTACGAATCATAATGATAGAATTACATGTAATACCAGAGTTTCCTATGTAATCTCAGCGAACGTTTTAAGCGTGAAGATTGAAACACGCGGGACAATCGTTGAGACGATAATTGGGTCAATCTTTTTTAACACATGCTGATTAATTTGCAAAAATGCAACGTCGTTCGAATGGGTTTATCGGTACTTCTTTTTTAAATTATCGTCCGTTAGAAACGATCCAGGAGAAGGGATCTCGCGTTCGAAAGTTTATGTGCAGATCCGCACCGCCATTGCTATCAAGTGATCTGACAGCGTTTCAACGATTTCATTTCCTTACCGTCTACCATTAAAATTTCGCGTGTCTGGTGTACCTTCTGGATAGCGATACGTCTAGTCTATGATTCATGACCGAGAATCGGGATCGAGAACACCGTTGAAGTAGAAACAGGCGTCAACATCAACTAGTTCGACCTTATAAGTCATCTGGTGGTGTTCGTTTATTCCCGTTTTTTTAGAAGAAAATCTGTGATAATTCGCGAGCGTATAATCGTTATTGGAATATCATGTCGGATACGAGACGACGTCGAAAATCTAATCAGTCTTGCGGTTCCGATGACCTCTCGGACTCTTGCGAGGAGTTAAATGCAACAAAAGAGACCCAGGTTAGCTTGCACGAGAGTGTCTTCGATATTCCTTTTCGGAGTTTCGAAACAAACAATTTTCATCTCTCTTTACAATTTTACATCTCTTATTTTATTTAACCTTCTTACTTCTCGTTGGATTGTATAAAAAGATCGGTAGAAGATCCAATTAAGTGGATTAAGTAGACTGCTGTAATACTTTAGGCTATTATCCTGACTAGGAAGGCTTTACTATGCATTCTATTTATTCCAAATGTCACGAGATAAATGTATATATATGAATAAAGAAGTACAATTGTTTTATATGCTTGAGAAGTATGTCTTGCACAAAGTTTGCTGACTCGCAATCTTGGATTTCAGAGCAGTGAACAAACCGATGGTCATCAGGATTCAGAGTGTGAAATCTATCCTTCTGATTCCGATGCCGAGTCTCAAGATGGTGCATTGAGAGAAAGTGGCGATGGCCAGGAGGAGGAGAAACCTCAGAAGAAATTGGACGATGACGAAGACAGACGAAATCCACAGTACATTCCCAAGAGGGGAACATTTTATGAACACGATGATAGAACTATTGATGAAGTAGAAGACAGTGCTGCTGAACCACAGAATGAGAGAGAGACCAAAGAGAAGAAAGTGTGGAAGGACAAGGAAGACAGATGGGATCATGATCGATACAATGATGAGGAACAAGCACCAAAAAGTCATGAGGAACTGATAGCAGTTTACGGCTATGATATAAGAAACGAAGAAGGCCCGCCCAGGGCAAGAAGAAGAAGAAGATATGGGTAATTGTATTCTTCAAGATGCTTTAATTATCGTAATAGTTTATTTTACTCATCTTTTACATTTCAGTCGTGGCCCAAATAAATATACACGTAACTGGGAAGATGAAGATGCATATGGAAAACCTGGAAGCAATGTTCCCGCAAGAAATAAGAAGTTTAATAGAAGTGCTGAAGATTTTCCTGCTTTAGGAACCAATAAAAACGCTCCTAAAGTAGACGAGCCAGTAATCTCGTCAGCTTGGTACAGTAGTAAAAATAAGTCACAAATCAAAGGACAGAACTTTCCACCTTTACAAACTCAGGCCGACAGTCCAAAGACAAAGTCTATCACTACTTCTAATACTCACACGTACGTGAAATTCCTTAAATTACAAAATTCTCCTAAAATACGAAGTAATTACTAAGAATTAGAGTTTGATTTGTAGAAATGAGAACAAGGCCCCTAATGAACCTACAAATCCAGCCTGGAAGAAGGACACTAAGCAGTCGTCCCATGCCCAGAGTAGTAATGGAAACAGTGGGCCTGGCGGCGATGCCGATAAATTAGCTTATCCTAAAATGTCTCCGAGAGATAACAATAAAAAGAACGTTCAAGAGTCTTCAACGAACAAGACGCCTCGGGGGCGAGGGTTCCGTTTAAGTGTAGCTAACAACAACATGGTCACGAATAAATCGATTGAGACCAAATCTAAAGGACACGGCGCAGGACCCATAATCACTGAGAACAGAAGAAATAGTGGTATACAGAATGACGACGAACAGCAAATAACTCACGACATGAAACATGTCAGCGTTAACGATGGTAGTCAGTACCATCAAAGACACAATAGTAAGCGGCTTGATGTAAAACTGTCAACTGTATTATTACTGTTCTCTTATTAATTTCTCTGTTTCTTAGAAAACTTCTATGGGCAGTCCTCGAATCAACAAAGGTCGAGCACGGTACCTCCGAGAATGCAGCAGCAATCTCATTCTCAGCAGCAGCAGCAGCAGCAGCAGCAGCAGCAGCAACCCCAACAGCAGCAGCAACAAGCGATACAACAACAAGATGGTGCTGCAAATAGACCGAAACGTTATTCCAGTTTGCGACAGCGCTCCACGGTTTCTGATAATGCGGGACAACAGAATTATCCGCCGCAGCATGGACAGCATGGTCAACACGGACAGCATGGACAACATAGTCAACACAATCAGCATAATCAGCAATGCCAACACAATCAGCATGGCTATTTCCCTCCTCAAGGTAATAGAATTTCTATGTTCTAAGATCTCTCTTTTCTTATGATTCACGACACGTTTGCGGGCGAACGATATAAATATATATAGAATATTATGTATTAATATTGAACTTGTGTGTGTATATGTATTTAGCTGGAAATTCAAGAGCCGTTTTAGAGCCACAAGGTAAGACCAAGTCGGTAATTCAAGTGTGTGAATTGTACTCAATTTATAAATTGCTTATCCACGTATCATACTCGTCTTTTATTTTCCATCGTAACATGATTTACACAAGCATGTCTGTACATATCGGTGTAACCGATACTTCTTTATACTCACGGAGTATCGAAATACTTTGCGATTATAGGATATCCGCAGGGTCATTTTGAACAATCCACACCTGTTGCTGCCGCGGCCGCGCCTATGGCTGGACAGCCGGTGATTCCGATACCACCTAATGGTCAACCTACTAGCTTTGCTCCACCGGCGTTCTTGGTACCACCTCCGCAATTTATTCCTCCGCAGACTGCTCCGCCTAGTATAATTAATTATGTTCCTGGCCCGAATGGACCAACGTTTCCACCGAACTTCCAAGGCTACCAAGGATATAGTCCAACGGTGCAGGTACGTTTCTTTACTCCGTTATTCTTTATTCGTTCCAGGAGATCTCGTATATATCTCTTGTCGTATTTACAGCCGCCGCGTCCACCACCACCGCAAGAATTGTTTCAACCACAAGGTTGTACTTATTACAGCCCGGCACAGCAGCAACAGCAACAGCAACAATCGGCTCCGGTGAGACGACCAAAAGCGGCTATACCGATACTACCACCACCTGAGCAGGCTCAGACCAGAGGTAGAGGCCGAATGACGCAGTCGCCGCAAATGATACAATCCGGTGGTGTCCAACAGTTCGGGCAGGAAATGAAGGTTAACTCCATGGAAGATGATCAGAAAACTGTACCGGAACAGTTCGACGATGTGGAAGAAACAGAGGTTCATGAAGAACCGGAGAAAAACGAAGATTTAAGTGTTCTAATAACGGATACTGTCGTTGAGAACGACGCGGAAGATATAAAAAGTCCCGATAGCGATGTACCCGTGAACTCGGAAGATATTATCGGCGACCAGTTGGACGGAACAATAGATACTAACGATTTATCGAAAGGCATTATAGACGAAGGAAATATTGTCTCGCTTAAAACTCCACAGACAGTCATCGAAGATATTAAAGATGATTTGAATAAAATAGAGAAGGCAGCGCCTGAAAGTTCGGTCGTGGAAGAAGCAGTATAAAATAATCCTGTCATGCAATACGCTACGTTTTGTACAAGGAACGTAACTATGACATGATTACACTTATGTTATAGGAATGCAGTGTAATATTATTTGAAGTTACTATACGGTCTGTAAAGTAAACGAGGCACGAGAGCAAAAGTCGGCCAATCCAGAATGATACTGTCGATCTACACGCGGGTGCGTTCGGGAACTTCATTATTTTCGAATATATATATATATTGACGAATGTTTTTCGTGAAAAAACCGTGGATTCGTTTACTGATGCTCCTGATTCCTCTGACAACCTGTGAAATACCGTAGGAATTGGATACGTGGGTGTCTAAAACGTAATTTGAATGACATTATCTAATTCCAGCGTATTGTTGCATACTACGTAGTTCACATTTGTAATAATGTTTCGCTACGAATTTCGAACCGATCAGCTGCTACTATTAAACGACATTCTTCTATATTGTTAAACTCCTTTCATATATGAAAATTCTACTAATAATCAATTATTAGTAGAGGAAACTAGTGTTAAATGTATTATCGTGTATCGAATATTAACGTACACAGCGCAGACTGTGAGAATGGTTAATAAACCGATATCGATTTTTTTAATACAGACAGCTAAGGATTTATGTAAATAGGATACCATCAGATTAGTGACATCAGCATGTTTTTTTGTGTACAAATATGTTTGTACCACGAGTTATTAAGTAAAAAACGAATGAAGGATGTTTCTTAAAGAATACGTGAATAAACATAACAATATTTCAGTTTGTATCTATTACCAATATGTAAATGTTACATGCGTTTATTTCGAAGCGTAGTTAGGGCGTAACTAATATCTATTATTAACTATTAAACTTGTCGTTCAATTTCAATCGATAATTCTGTAATATTTGCGAGAAACATCAAGTCGCAATCATTTATACTTCTTTCCTTAAATACTAAATACATTTACTATGTTTTGTTACGCTAGATGGATCGGACAGATAATATATTCGTAACAACACTTTTTATACAATGGCTAAGTTTCATTTCCTCAAAAGCTTTCAAGCGTTTTATTGATACAGACGAATTAGTATAAAATTCTTTTTTAAACAAGGAATCCACGAAATGATAGAAAATAGAAAACATGTGGAAATATGCTATAGCGATTGTACGCAGTATATGTATATCGTATTATATGTTCCACATGCAGTTCCATTGATGGCCGGCGTAGCCAGCGTGTTAGAGTTCTAAGTGTAATCATTCAATTAGAAAGGACGATTTAAAAGTTCGCGAGAGCAGACATCCAGCCTCGTTCCAGCAATTGTCAAATATTGTAAGTATCATTAAATTACGACTCGATTTTTTGTCACATCAAGCCGTTACATCGTCGAACGAAAGTTTTTGAACCGATCGTATCAGCTGAATATAATCGCTTCTGTTACTCGAGAGAGATGAGATCGAATTCTTTTGTCGTGCTTATCTAGCATCGCATTATATCTTCACATTAAAGTTCAAACTGCATGTAAATAAATGATCTGTGAATCTCACTCACGCACGTTCGATAGTCACGATCACTGAAGAGGAGCAATGTTTTTATCAGTCGTGTTTCTGGTTTTGCTGAACAGTCGTTATAGCGCTGAGAGGGATAATCTCGGTGTTTCTTTGAACGTTGTTGTTATTTTTCATTGTTCGCATCGTAGTCGTAGTCCGAGACTTGAGCCGAGGAGGATTCGACGTGCTCGCGAGGTATCCTCGTTGCATATGAGAAGCATTTCCTCGAGCACAACGAAAGGTACGCCTAAATTCCTTACGAAATTTCCCTGGAACAAACATTTTTTATCAATCGATCAAGTCGCGAATATAGTAGAGTATCTCGTGCCGTTTCTTTGCATTACTTTCGGGAAGTGTAACATGAAACTCAATCGATGTTCAGACGGTATAATTAGTATTAACGGCGCAGGCAGCCTCTGATCTCAATTTTCATACATCAACGAGAAGAGCAAGCTATGTTTCCGATCTTAATTTTCATAATATTAACGAGAAGAGCAAGCTATATAATATTTCATCATCGACCTTTCCTCTAACCTATTCAAATATTTCCGCGCGCTCTTGCGAGCCTCGTTGCTAACTTCAGAGCCGATCAACGTCGATACCGGTCGATGGTGAGTGGCGTATGTATGAGTTTTGGTTTTGGCGCGTTTTGGCGGTTAGTGGTGTCGAATTAAAGCGAGAAATACGGCGTAGAATTAAGATAATCAGCGCGATTCGTATTGGCCAATATCTGTGGAATATAATCTAGCTCACCCTGAGCGTAACCGCGATTGCTGATGGCAAATTCCAAGAATGCATCGATCCTGCGGAGATTCGCTCTCGACCATCGGCTCTTCCACGACGGCGTCAGAGGCTTTTTTCATCCAAGTGACTCGGATTTCTGCTTGTCAGAATTGTTCACGACGGGTCTGCGGTGCTGACCGATATTCGTTCGGTGTGTAAGCGTAGCTGAGCTGCTGAATTTGCCTGCGACCGTTCGAGGAAGTGCATTCTCGGAAAGTGCGACCAAACTCCTGCCGGAACTTACCTGCAAACCACATATCTCTTCTTTTGGTCTCACATTTTCTACTCCCTGCCACGGATTTCTTCACCGACGGAATCACTAATATTCCTTGATGCCGGTACGTATAACTTGTAAACTTTTCCAAAACTCCTAGCGCCTTATATCTACGTTTATACGTTGAGGAACTTCTAACTACATATCGTTCCGCACGAAACACGTATTCGTTATCCTCTTACTTTTCTGACAAATTTTCGAGCTCGCATAAAATTGTTTCGAACTGCTTCACAGAGCAAACGAAACGTGTAACTACCTCGTGCTCGTTGTCGAAGTTTGAAAGGAAGGAAGTAGTTATCATCCGGACAGTGAAATACCGTTTCATTTAATTACGCGATCTTGAAATAAACGGGAGAGAAATGTCGGCCGAATTGAACCTTAATTAATCACAGCCGCGTGGAGAGTTTTCCGATAAGCTCCGGATTCCGCAACGAAGCGACTGCATTGTTAAAGTTGTGATCATTGTTCCAGGATACAATTTTATGTAATCTTATTTAGTATCGCTACGTGATCGTGCTCGTGAGGAATACGAATCCGGCGGAGAACATACTTTTCTAATTTCTGATTGAAACTTCAGTAAGTGAAAAGTGCAGTGCGGATGAAAATGAGAGGAGTAATTTTACCGCTCATGAAATTGTAGATCAGGGGATTGACCGCGCTGTTGAAATAGCATAGGCCGTGCGCGATTAAACTGATAGCGTTGAGCCACTTGTTGGATGGTAGCGTAGTCGTATATCTGAAACAATAAATGAATCGCGTATTAATTTATCATAATTCGATCCATGATGAAATTGGTTCACCATGGGAGCACACCTCGTGTTCTTTCGTCACGACGATTCAAGTTGCGATACCTTAAAACGGAGAGTAGATGCACGGGGCAGTAGCAGATAGCAAAAGTGATGACGACCGTGACTAACATTTTTGCTGCCTTCCTTCGAGATCTCAGCTGACCCTCCGGATTCCCGCCTCCAGCTGGCGGAATCTGGTTCATTTGGGACATCCGCGACGGTACTGCAAAATACACAACAATTATTCAAACTCTCTCTCTCTCTCTCTGTCTCTCTCTTGTTCTTGCTGGTTGTTTCGCATTTAGGAGATACATCTCTGTTTTTCAGGTACTTTAAGGTCATTAGTTCTCGTTCTAATATCGAACGAATGGTCTACTTACAGTTGTGACCTGGAATATTGCTGCTCCAAAGGACTCTCACGATCTGCCAGTACGCCACGCTCATGAAGATCAAGGGCCCGGTGTACAGGAAAACCAGCTTCACGATGGTGAACGCGACTTGGCTGCTTTGATTCCAAGAAGTGTCGCACTGTGTGAACAAGATCGTCTGGACTCTGATATGCGTGGGAGGAATGGTGTGCAACACGACGAGGTCCGGGATATCTGCATAAATGGTAAGTGTCTTCATATCCTTTTGCCTGCGCGTTAATTACTTCGATTATGCTACGCCGAGTGCGAGGAGCACCTCGGCCTCGAGAAACTTTTAAGTGTCAATTTATATCTACGTACCAAATAAGAGGGCTACCGCCCAGATCCCTATGATCGCGGTCTTCGCCCTCCCCGTAGTAGATTTAAATCTCAGAGGGAAGCATATCGCGTACCATCTATCTATAGATATAAACGTCAGAGTCAAGATGCTCACGGTTACGGACACAGTCTGAAACAAGACGACACGAAGAAAGACTGTTATTTCTTCGCATATACAGTACAATTACACGCGATCAGTAAACGTCAAGGAACCCTGTTGTTTCTATTATTACTATCGCTTAAGGGGAACGAAATTACTATCCCCGCGATTAGCAATTCTAAAATGTTCATTCACGAAATTTACATAACTGCCTGTTATAAAAGTTCGCGTTGGCAATCAGAATGTAGATCGGTAGGAGATAGAGCGAAGGTAAAAATTGAAGTGAGTAAACGAAAATATGAGTACAACATTTAGACGCTTGAGTCAGCATAGGCATAGGCATAGCTGTCTTTCGTTTTGACTTTCCATCCGATAACGCGATTTATTCGCGGTCGGACCGGCACAGGGATACATGTCATGAATATAAAACGAAACTGAAAAATGTGACCGCGGCAAGGAGTTTCGCCCGACGGAAAATTGATAAAACACGGCCCCTTACCTCGCGTCGTCGTTTGCTCCCCGCACATTCGGCTCTTCGTTTTTTGTTCCCGGATAACTCTCGGAATTAATAAAACGATCTGCGCGCGAATCGACTCGACCTACATTTTCTTTTCGCTGTCTCGTGCCCTGGTGTGTTCAATGCCGGTGCGACAGCCCGGTGAAAAATTCATCGGGGTTCCGTTCACGATCGCATATACATCATTAAACAAATTGCGTTTGAGATAAACCCGTCCCCCTGTCAACGAGCTTTTTGCATGGAAAATTCACGCCGTCCACTAGTCGTGGTATACGTCGCCTACCATTTGCTGGACGTCCGACCGTTGCGTGACGCCTTTTCATACGATAACGCGTTTACGAGGCCTCCTCCGACACTGTCGATTGAATTTCCGACTTGTCGTCAAAGGGCTTGTTACCGTATTCCCGTACAGCGTGCGTACACGCTGTCGGAGTTGGTCGATGACACGGTCAATCCGTTAAACCTATGATCACGGTTCCTTATCAACGTTACATTATTATAGAAATCTAAGATCAGAAGAAGCGTAGACTTACGTACGGCGATTGAGGAGATAGAAAAATTGAGGAGATGGTAAGTGGAAAAAGAGAAACAAGGTACGAGTGTGTCTGTATACAATATAAAGTAGCCCAAAGGACTAGAGCGTGAGACAATAGCATGATGTGTGTGGGTGTGTGAAGCAAATGTTAGGTGGTAAGTGACGATTTTTATTATTATTATTTTTTGCTCAATTGTTTATAGCAAAGTATGTTAGTAGAGATAAGCTTAGGTAGTCTATACAAGGTGTTTGCGAAATCGTGGTACAAAAGGCAAGGGGATGATTCTTTACATAAAATCTAATCGAAAACAAGGAATATAGTTTTTCATACAGGACATTATTTTCGAGAAAATTGAGTTTGATCGAGTACGACATTTTTTGTAGGTAATAGTAGTACTTACAACTTTTATTTGAAGCAAATTTTGATATTACTATTAGTCTAATAAATGGTCGCAGCAATTCTCTGAATACGCTAGACTCTCCGGTTAGGCTCACGTTCGCTCTTCACGTTTCTGATACGGACGTCATATCGTCGCAGAGCAATCGTAACTTTCGATCCCTCTGCTGTGGCAAATAGCAATTTACAATTTAATTTTATCGTACCATTGCGATTACCCGAGTGAAACTTCTCGGTTGAAGATCGAAGGGAAACGCGTGGGTGTACGTATCCGCCTCGGCACTGGTACACGAATACGCAATCTGCCGTTCGTTGGAACTGGTATGTAAATGAAAGCTCGGATTTTTCTCTCTTTTTTGTGATCAGGAATTAGCCGAAGAACTAAGAATCGCTTGCGCGACCTGGGAACACTTTAATTCCGAGGACAGAAAACGGCTAGAAGTAGAAAACTCTGAGGCTCGGATACACCGGGAACATCGGGACGAGATGTAACTCTCTCAGCGCGAACGATTTATCATTTCTTTTACGCGCTTCTTATGAAGAAAAGTTCCTAATGTCCTTGATTTACTTCTTGGACACGTCGCAAAGTGTCATTTATCAACCGATCTAACGACGAACAATGATAATTAACCGTTCGCGAAGCCCAGCATTAAACCAGAGTAGGATCAATGTAGTAATGTTATTTAAAAAGACGATAAATTCGCATTCTACCGTGAGAAGGCCGATCGTTATTTAACGAAGTCGTAACACGTAATTAGAGTCGGTCAAGGATCGCGGCCAGGACATATTCAGGTGTGTAACGCGGATCGATTGGTATTAAAGCAAAGAGCGACTAGGTTTAATGCTGGGTAAATTGTTCCCGACGCTTTCGTTGCCCGTTATTGTATCCGGCATGGTTTCCGTGCAATTAACTGCGAGGTTTCTGCCAGACGAGCCAGCTATATTCCAGTTTATACTACGACCGGCGAAATTCAAAGTGTTCACAAAGATTACCGAGCGGAATAATCGCCTGGTAATTTGTCAGATCGTACGACTCATGGAAATTGTAACGAATGAAAGATAGTTAAGTATCGTGTTTCTTCGATAAGCGTGAAAAAGGTTCAGCGTGACTCTATCCGTCCGCGGTACTAAGAATCATCTCGTTCGGAGCCAGTCTCGATTATCGTAACGATCTATTAACATTCTTTCGTGAAAACGTTTTGCTATCCAAACAATATCCTCAGTTCTTCAAACAGCACTCATTGTTTTTGCCACGGTTCTATCCGACGCGAAACAATTTTCAGGGATTGTTTGCCGGCGCGTCGCGGCGGACGGCGAACAGCACGTTTTAATTAAATCTCAGTTATCTACCGGCCCCACTCACAACTTCATCCGTCACGGCAGCGCGTGCCTAACGTGTCGCCGATAGTGTGACAATGCCACTTGGGACTTTGCACCTCGTTTTACCAGCGCGATCGGAATCGGTCGCTTCGATCAACGAGCACCGGTCCGTCGAATGAATCTCGACTTCCCTTTACCGTACAAGGGAGGATCGACGCCGAAACTCCTTCGTTCATTCCCGCCGATCGATCTGCTTTCACCCTTTTATTTTCAAATTATTTACGACGCTACGCGTTGAATTCCCAAGAACGCGTTTCACAGCGAGCTTCCGACCTTTTCACTCTTGTATTATTCAAGATGCCCGATGGTGAATTCTGATAAGCGAGAGAAACGAAGTACAATAATATATTTTGCTGCCGGTCTTTTAAATGTATATTAAAATCTGTGTCACGCTACTTTAAAATTAGACGGAATCGCATCAGGGATACGTGATATGAATACCTCACTTCGGGAACCTGGATGGATTCGCGTTGTGTTATCTAAACTGCATGCGCCACTTTAATTGTTTCGTATATTCCAGCGCGCAGTTATAAGAATGTAGTTAAAGCGGGAACGAGTCAGTAGGTGCACCTAGTGCACCATTTTCACGCTCTCGTTAATGATAATTGCGTTCGTTTACAATTTTTTCACTTGCTTACCTTCGTGAAAAATGCAAGCGTTCGGAGTACCGCAGGCAACGAAATTTACCATTTCTCCCCCTCGTCACGGTACTCGGCTCTACTTTCATTTAGGCCGTTGATCAACGAGATAGTGCGTTTATCATTAAAAACCTGCGTCGGCGGGGGAGAATATCAGAATAGCGGTGTAAAAAATTCACGTTATCGATCCCCGTCACGAGAAAAAGTTGTTCTCCGGGTGAAATATAACACGACGAGACCGGCTGACTGCCGCGAACAGTCGGAAAGGCACGCGAACTTTGTATCATTAGCTCGTTCGCGTTCCTGCGTGGCCCAAATTCCCGACGGATCAACGTTTCTCTGAGTCTCTTCGGAAGTAATCCATAACGCGTCGCTCCGTCGTAGAAACATACATTTCCGTCCTAGGTCCCGCGGGATTACTTTGCGTTGCAGTTTTAAAAAATAAGTACCCTTCGTGTCGCGTGAAGACCCGCGGGAAATTCGCCCGGCGGAACGGGAATAGGCAAACGTCTTCTCAAACGGGAACAGACCTGCTCGACTTTTAATCAAATCGGTGGAGTCGCGCGATTACGATTCAGAAGTCCAACTTTTTTTTTCGCTCGTGCAACTTCCGAGCATACGGAAATTCTCGGGACGCTTCGCAGATTTCTTCGATTGTTCGAAAAGTGTGCCGCGCACGGTTTCGACGGTAATTTCTTTGTCTATTGGCAGGAATTCAAAGCGGGAGATAAACTGGGAAACTTGTACGATCGCGAAATTATTATCGTTCGTCCTGAAGGAAATGTATTCAGGTTTGCGGGTCGCACGTAATGCGACGGGCTTGGTTTTTATTTCCAGTAAACGCACTCCGTTACGCCGTGTCTACGTGTACGAACGTTTCTTTTATCGTGGAATCCTGAACACTCGGGGTGGTAGGCCAACCCTCGTTACTCGTACCAGAAGATCCGATCTCGTTTCTTTTCAAAGATCGTTAAGCGGGGGCACGTTCCTTGCTGGTACGCCTAATCAGAGGAGTAGGTACGCGCGATCTAATCTCATAAATCCGTTTTACCAAAATGTATTACCTCCTCAACCGTGATATACTTCTTTCAGATAAACGCGACGTAATCAGATCTTAAATTAGCCTTTGCAATCGCTTATTATCAATCGAGATAAACAGACCGATGATATCTATGCGAAGTATACCACTTTAACATTGTCTCTATCAAGCGGTGTCAAGAGACTCCTTTGAAAATTTTCGCCTAAAATTATTATTATTATTAGTTTCACTGTTTTCTCGATTTAATTAATTAATTCAACAACCAGTAGAGGAGAAGGCAAGAATTTAATTGAGGAAAAAGTATTAAACTAATAATAATAATTTTAAGCAAAAATTTCAGAAGGTGATGTTCCATTATACTTTGAACTCTCAATGCTTAATGTGCAATCTCTATATTTTCTCTAGTTTTTATACAAACGAATGAAGGGAATTACGAGAAATCGTTATCGTACCGAGAATCCGAATTCAAATAACACTGACCAATATCACATGCTCCGTTTCCGTTTCATTTCTCCACTGGGAAGTTTGCTTTTGTCTTGGTTCTAATTAGCGGCGATCAATGAGCCGTGATTATCCGCGTGTTCAGTTGCTGCCTCTCTCGTTACAGGCAAGTGTCTTTGCTACCGAACACTGTGCGGGATAATTAAAAACGTGTCACGCGTCTATATCACAGTTTACTTTATCAAGGAAACGGAAGGTGAGAATTCAGGTTCGTATCATACAGTACGTGATTATAGTATCAACGCTTCAGTGTCGTCTTTGTAGGAATCATTATTATCATCCCCTGTATTACGATTTCCGGCTCCACCCTGTATATACCTTAACTATAGGAAGGGGAGGGTCATTTCTAGCCCTGTGACTCAGGGTTGATTTTAACTCTAGAGACTAATTTGATTATACGTTTTTTAAAGCTAGAGATAACTACGAGGCTAATACTTAGCCATCCAACAATAAAATGCAACGTTCGTAATTTAAAGAAAATCTAATTAGGAATTAACAGGACAGGTAGGGTAGAGGAAGTTTCACGAGCGTTCCATCTGCTATAATGATTATTTAATTGAATTTGGATTTACGATTCGGAGGAAAAGAAACAGCGTCTCCATAAACGTAAACGCGTGAAACGGCGTTTCAAAGGAGACGCGGTCCCCTCGTTACGGTCGCGTTCGTTACACTTATTTAGTCTTTTTACCCTCCGCGTACTTCCGGTTAGAGCATTCACCTACACACGGCTTTCCGACCTCTCCTAGCCGTGCGTGCCACTTTTTTCTTTTTTCCAACCGTTTCCGCTTTCTTGGCAATGAAATTTCGCCTCGCAGAAATTACTTTCTGCAAAAATTACTTCCCATCTTTCCGTATCCTCGTGCGAATCCAGCTCCGTCCCGAGGAATGTTATTCATTAACGAGCCGCGTTTGAAATAAAGTTAGCCGGGCCGATTATTGCGAACTCGGTTCGACTGGTTACGTCTCGAACGAATTTCTCGAGAGCCCGGAAATGAGTTAGCACGCCACGCCGCCGCTCTGGCTCGGGAACAGCGTGCAGCAACGCGTTGTAAGATAATGCGATTTGCTCACCCAGCTTGCCACCGTACAGGTACACATAAGTACATCCCTGTTCATAAGCGCTTATCATTTATCAAACCATCTGACGATTATTCCAAATTGGCGAATCGCATGGTCAGAGCCATGAAATGGATCATACAGTGAATCATGTACAGTTTTAACGAACTCACAGATACTTCAAATGTGATAGTCCCCATGATTTTTACGTGGCAGTTGTGAAAGATATAATAAGATACATTTGTTATATAAATTTATCGTTTCGTAAACTTCACAAGATCTGATTCGGTCATGCATTTCAGAATCCGTCGCGAGACTTCTGAACGTAGGTGTACAGACGTAACGAGACCAGGCGCAGGATGCGAGTTTGCACACTGGCTACATGCAGCCGTATGCATCGCGGAACTATGATAAACGAGCCGAACGATATTTCCGTGAAGCCGTGGTTCAGCGTACAAGCGTAACCGTACCGTGATACCGACCAATCGAATTTTAACTAGGTATAGAATCGCACGTAGCCCTAACTGCGCGTCGATCGTACCGCTCGTTCCTCGTTAATCGAAAGGTTCGCTCGTCGATCGTTTCTGAAGTCGGCAACGCAACATTAATGGAGCGTCGAATATGCATGTCCGTTTTAACGAGCGCAGGAGTATTGCTCGTCGTTAACGTCGCAAAAGCGACAATAATTACTGGACGGCTATAGATCGTCCCGCGTGTTCTTCCAGCGAACGCCAAACCATGAAACAATACCCGGACAATGGGCTATAAACCAGGCAGCGTGTAACGTTACGTCGCCCGATACGCGTTCTTTGTATCCCGGGCTCTCTTTACAGTCTGCAACGTATTAAACTCGCTTTCTTCGCTCGTATAACTTTTATTAAATTCCGGTCTTGCTCTCAATTAAAGGAAATTATTTATCACGCTGATCATCTTCCGTCGGATTTACCGCGAATTTATTGCGCTCCGTACAATTCGCGCATTTCGATTTATCGACTGGAATAACGCCGATTACGGAGTTCGTTTGTTCCGCGCCGCGATGTTTATTCCGCTCGGCTGGCAGACGTCGCGTCGTCGTAGCGCGTCGCATACACTCGGAACACCTCGAATTTCCCTCAAACAACTTTGCGGTGTCTTCGCCGGGCCTAGAAATTAACGCGACTCTTCGTAATTCCCGGTACTTAGTTCACGAGATTTTTTTAAATCGATCGGACGACTGCGATTTTACACTGGGTAACAGACGACACGGTCGTGGACCTTAACGTTTTCGGCGGTACGCGGTGTCAGGCTTAACCGAGATTGAGCGGGGAAAAAAAAGAACATCAGCGTCACGTGTCCGGCGTGCAAACACGTTGCGTCAGATGTAACGCGAGGGTAACATAACGGGTGTTCGTACCAACAATTGAGACACCGATCAATCAAAGCGCGGTGTCCGATTCTTGCATGGGGAGCCAAATATTCCTGGCTTATCTGAGCATGATTGATCAGCCGTGAAAAATAGTTTGGTGACGAGGCGCGTTCTTCTTGAAATTAAATTGTAGGAGCGCAGTAATGAATCTTTGGTATTAGCCCGGGCCGCTTCTTTCAAATGCAAATTCCTTCGCGCTTCTCCGGCAATCATTTGTATTTCGATTGAAATTTAGTAGCGTCCGCACGCGCCGTTTCGAATCTGCCACACAAGCCACAATACGGTTAATAATTATTCGCAATTTGTCCCTGTTTTCCACGTATGCAAAGCGACAGAAGAAATTTCGCATACAAATCGATTTGATAGCGAGTTTTTCACCGATTGTGTTATCTAATCGGTAGATTAAAGACTTTAAAAATAAATCATTTATGACATCGGTCAAAAAAACGTCGATTATCGTCTGATAATTGCACTATTTTAATATTTTGATATGCACAGGCAGCTAATCGTTCTCGGTGTCTCCTGCGAATACGATAAAATTGACGATCTTGTAATCGCATGTTTACGAGATACTCAACAGGCTTTTGTCGTTTGACGATCGATCAAGCTGGAGGCGTCGGTGCAAAGATTGGCAGCCAACAGCCCCGCGTTTACAAAAATTACGTACTGGGTATGTCTTGATAGGCCATACCCCGCCAGCACGGCGTGGACCGTACTGACGCGCTATAGAAGTAGCGAGCACCCTTTTTAAACCGACGTCGTCTCGCGTCGGCTTTATGTTACCTTCCAGGCCGCGTATAAATTGTGAGAAACCTCATTGGCTTCTAGCCATCTGCTGCCATGCCGATGTACTAGAAATGCCGATCGCATATGCGTAATTAATTGTATTAAAAGAAATTATAATTATGCAACGTGCACGTAAATTGGTTCCGGGAACCGCGTAACATCGTTTCAGGCGCCTCGCGCCTGAGAACCTTCCGGTCAGACCGCGTTCGATAAGACGTTAATTGCGAACAGGGACGACGCCGATAATTTGATCCACGGGCCTCCGCCGATCGCTAGACCGCGTGGAGTCGACAGAGTTTCCCAACGAATACGATATCGGCTTTTCACAGGATTAGACCGATGTTATGATCGGGTTAATTAAAACTTGAATAAAGATATCTGTGTCGTTGTTCGAAACTTCGGTCCGACCTTAAGAACGATTCGATTGATTAAAGAAGGGAAGCTTCAATTTTCGCCAATCGTTTGTACGTATCCACGTGTTCAACAGATTTTCAAGCTCGCTTCGAGGAAACGTGTTGAATATGAAAACAGCAGGAATACCGAATTAAGAATAACGCGGCCGACTTATGAATTTATTATCATCCCTCGCCAACCCAGCAGCCCAGCAGGAAAGTCTTTACCGTGCATATTGCGAATTCTGGGTTCGAAACAAAAACAAGACAGAGTTCCTTGGAATTTACAACTAAAATGTATTCTGCAATTAAGTAAGCCTCGCAGTCTTCGTTGCCACGGATTCGGTGCAGCGACTTGAAAATAAATATCTAAAAAGTGTGCACAGGTGGAAATCGACTGGCGAAGTATTTTGTCCGAGCATCCGGCGAACGTGCACGAAATCTGAAATGCCGCCGTGTATTAATATAAAACGATCCCAGGGAACGTAACTTCCTAAACGGTTTAAGGATGTATTGGCTATACAGTCAATCCCAAAAGTTTATGTACCTTAGAAAAACGCATTTCGTATAATTAAAAAGACATCAGACGTCGGAAGAATAATGCTAATAATAAATAGCTACGTGTTAAAAAGTATAGAAGGAAATATCCAATTAAGTATTGACGCTGGCGAAAAATTTTTTTTTTTTTTCACAATTGCGAAAAATGCTTCAAATAAAAGTTGTTTTCCTTCTAACTTCGATATTTAACGAGTTACGTATGATTATTTGGCATTTTATTGATGTTGACAAAATCCGACCATCCCAGCCTCGAAACGGCGAACTTTTGGAAAAAAATTTCGTTTTTCCTCAATAACTCCTAAACCTTTGGACCTACGGGAAAATTGCACAGGACCTTTCTTGTAGAGGACGACGAGATCTACAATTTCCATGTAAAAATATTTCGCTAACGTTAATAGTTTACGAG